TCCTGCCCCGTAGCAAGCCCTGGTGATCCGTGAAGGAGAGAAGATGCAGCTCAACGCCGAGGAGGTCGTGGTTGGGGACCTGGTGGAGGTGAAGGGGGCGACCGTGTCCCTGCTGACCTGCGCATCATCTCGGCCCATGGGTGCAAGGTGGGGACCCCCAAAATGCCCAAAATACCCATAAAACAACCTCAAAATACCCTAAACCACCCCAAAATACCCATAAAACACCCCAAAATACCCTCAAAATAGCCTAAAGCCACCCCAAAATACCCATACAACACACCAAAAATACCCTCAAAATACCCTAAACCACCCCAAAATACCCATAAAACACCCCAGAAATACCCTCAAAATACCCTAAAACCACCAAAAAATACCCATAAAACACCGAAAATACCCTCAAAATACCCCTAAACCACCCAGAATTACCCTCAAATACCCTAAACCACCCCAAAAATACCCTCAGCATGCCCTAAACCACCCCAAATTACCCCCAAAATACCCATAAACCACCCCAAAATACCCATAAACCACCCCAAAAGACCCTCAAAAGACCCTAAAACCATTCCAAAATACCCATAAACCACCGAAAAATACCCACAAAAGACCCTAAAACCACCCCAAAAAAAAAACCACCCAAAAATACCCTCAAAAGACCCTAAACCCATCACAAAATACCCATAAAACACCAAAAAATACCCGCAGAAGACCCTAAAACCACCACAAAATGCACATAAAACACCCAAAAATACCCTCAAAATACCCCTAAACAACCCTAAAATACCCATAAACCACCCCAAAATACCCACAAAATACCCTAAACCATCCCAAAATATCCCTAAACACCCTGAAATACCCCCAAACCACCCCGAAATACACCAAAAATGCCCCAAATTACCCCTAAACCAACCCAAAATACCCTCAAAATACCCCCAAAACATCCCCAAATCCCCTAAAACATCCCAAAATACCCTAAAAAACCCTGAAAAGCCCCAAAAGCACCCCAAACCACCCCAAAATACCCCGAAACACCCTGAAAACCACCGAAACACTCAAATTACCCCCAAACACCCCTAAAACACCACATAAAAACCTGAAGCACACCTCCCAAAACACCCCCAAATACCCCAAACACCCTAAACACCCCAATAGCACCCTAACCACCCCAAAATACCCCTAAACCACCCCAAAAACACCCCTAAATCACCCCCAAATACTACTGAAACACTCCAAAACCACCCCGAAATACCCCAAAACCACCCCAAAAAATACCCTAAAACATCCCAAAATATCCCTGAACAACCCCAAAAGCCCTGATACACCCCAAAACCACCCCATAAAAACCTGAAACACACCAAAACCACCTCAAAATACCCCAAAACTCTCCCAACACACCCAAAAATACCCTAAACCACCCCCAAAACCCTGAAACACCCCAAACCCACCCCAAAACACCCCCAGAACACCCTAGAACACCTTTAGGACCCCCATAACCCCTTTAGGACCCCTTTAGGACCCTTTAGGATCCCTTTAAGACCCCCATAACCCCTTTAGGACCACCCCAAACCCCTTTAGGACCCCCCCAAACCCCTTTAGAATCCCTTTGATACCTCCCTAAACCCCTTTAGGACCCCCATAACCCCTTTAGGACCCCCTTTGAGACCCCCGTAACCCCTTTAGAACCCTTTTGTCCCCATCAGACCCCTTTAGGACCCCTTTAGGACCCCCATAACCCCTTTAGGACCCCTTTAGGACCCACATAACCCCTTTAGGACACCTTTAGGACCCCCGTAACCCCTTTAGAACCCCTTTTGTACCCATCAGACCCCTTTAGGACCACTTTAGGACCCCCATAACCCCTTTAGGACCCCTTTAGGACCCCCATAACCCCTTTAGGACCCCTTTAGGACCCCCGTAACCCCTTTAGAACCCCTTTTGTCCCCATCAAACCCCTTTAGGACCCCTTTAAGACCCCCATAACCCCTTTAGGACCCCCATAACCCCTTCAGGACCCTCTAATCCCATCAGACCATTTTAGGATCACCTTAGGACCCCCATAACCCCTTTAGGAGCCACAAACCCCCTTTAGGACCCCTGCCAAACGCCTTTAGGACCCCTTTAGGACCTGCATAACCCCTTTAGAACCCCTATAGAACCCCTTTAGGACCCTTTTAAGACCCCCATAACCCCTTAGGACCCCCCCAAACCCCTTCAGAATCCCTTTGATACCTCCCTAAACCCCTTTAGGACCCCCATAACCCCTTTAGGACCCCTTTGAGACCCCCGTAACCCCTTTAGAACCCCTTTTGTCCCCATCAGACCCCTTTAGGACCCCTTTAGGACCCCCATAACCCCTTTAGGACCCCTTTAGGACCCACATAACCCCTTTAGGACACCTTTAGGACCCCCGTAACCCCTTTAGAACCCCTTTTGTACCCATCAGACCCCTTTAGGACCACTTTAGGACCCCCATAACCCCTTTAGGACCCCTTTAGGACCCCCATAACCCCTTTAGGACCCCTTTAGGACCCCCGTAACCCCTTTAGAACCCCTTTTGTCCCCATCAAACCCCTTTAGGACCCCTTTAAGACCCCCATAACCCCTTTAGGACCCCCATAACCCCTTCAGGACCCCTCTAATCCCCATCAGACCATTTTAGGATCACCTTAGGACCCCCATAACCCCTTTAGGAGCCACAAACCCCCCTTTAGGACCCCTGCCAAATGCCTTTAGGACCCCTTTAGGACCTGCATAACCCCTTTAGAACCCCTATAGAACCCCTTTAGGACCCTTTTAAGACCCCCATAACCCCTTTAGGACCCCCCCAAACCCCTTCAGAATCCCTTTGATACCTCCCTAAACCCCTTTAGGACCCCCATAACCCCTTTAGGACCCCTTTGAGACCCCCGTAACCCCTTTAGAACCCCTTTTGTCCCCATCAGACCCCTTTAGGACCCCTTTAGGACCCCCATAACCCCTTTAGGACCCCTTTAGGACCCACATAACCCCTTTAGGACACCTTTAGGACCCCCGTAACCCCTTTAGAACCCCTTTTGTACCCATCAGACCCCTTTAGGACCACTTTAGGACCCCCATAACCCCTTTAGGACCCCTTTAGGACCCCCATAACCCCTTTAGGACCCCTTTAGGACCCCCGTAACCCCTTTAGAACCCCTTTTGTCCCCATCAAACCCCTTTAGGACCCCCTTTAAGACCCCCATAACCCCTTTAGGACCCCCATAACCCCTTCAGGACCCCTCTAATCCCCATCAGACCATTTTAGGATCACCTTAGGACCCCCATAACCCCTTTAGGAGCCACAAACCCCCTTTAGGACCCCTGCCAAATGCCTTTAGGACCCCTTTAGGACCTGCATAACCCCTTTAGAACCCCTTTAGAACCCCTTTAGGACCCCTTTAAGACCCCCATAACCCCTTTAGGACCCCCCAAACCCCTTCAGAATCCCTTTGATACCTCCCTAAACCCCTTTAGGACCCCTTTAAGACCGCCCTAACCCATTTTGGACCCCTTTAGGACCCCCATAACTCCTTTAGGACCCCTTTAGGACCCCCATAACCCCTTTAGGACCCATTTAGGACCCCCATAACTCCTTTAGGACCCCTTTAGGACCCCCATAACCCCTTTAGGCCCCTCCATAACTCCTTTGCCCCCCCCAGGTTGACAACTCCTCACTGACTGGTGAATCAGAGCCCCAGACCCGCTCCCCCGACTGCACCCACGACAACCCCTTGGAGACGCGCAACATCACCTTCTTCTCCACCAACTGCGTTGAGGGTGGGTATGGGGTCCATAGGGGGCCATTGGGGTCCTTATGGGGTCCCCAATGGGCTTTGGGGGTCCATAGAGCTCTATCGGGGTCTCTATGGGGTGCCCAAGATGGGTTAGGGGCAGGTTTGTGGGTCCCGTTGGAGATGCGCAACATCACCTTCTTCTCCACCAACTGCGTTGAGGGTGGGTATGGGGTCCATAGGGGCCCATTGGGGTCCTTATGGGGTCCCCAATGGGGTTTGAGGTTCCATAGAGCTCTATTGGGGTCTCTATGGGGTGCCCAAGATGGGTTAGGGGCAGGTTTGTGGGTCCCGTTGGAGATGCGCAACATCACCTTCTTCTCCACCAACTGCGTTGAGGGTGGGTATGGGGTCCATAGGGGGCTATTGGGGTCTCTATGGGGTCCCCAATGGGGTTTGGGGGTCCATAGAGCTCTACTGGGGTCTCTATGGGGTGCCCAAGATGGGTTAGGGGCAGGTTTGGGGGTCCCGTTGGAGATGCGCAACATCACCTTCTTCTCCACCAACTGCGTTGAGGGTGGGTATGGGGTCCATAGGGGGCCATTGGGGTCCTTATGGGGTCCCCAATGGGCTTTGGGGGTCCATAGAGCTCTATTGGGGTCTCTATGGGGTGCCCAAGATGGGTTAGGGGCAGGTTTGGGGGTCCCGTTGGAGATGCGCAACGTCACCTTCTTCTTCATCAACTGCGTTGAGGGTGGGTATGGGGTCCATAGGGGGCCATTGGGGTCTCTATGGGGTCCCCAATGGGGTTTGGGGTTCCATAGAGCTCTACTGGGGTCTCTATGGGATGCCCAATATGGGTTAGGGTCAGGTTTGGTGGTCCGTTGAAGATGCGCAACGTCACCTTCTTCTCCACCTACTGCTTTGAGGGTGTGTATGGGGCCCATAGGGGGCCATTGGGGTCTCTATGGGGTCCATAGGGGTGCATTGAGGTCCTTATGGGATCCCCAATGGGGTTTGGGGGTCCTGGCTGTAGTGGGACTCCTAGTGCAGTTTTGGGGCTGGTTTTGTGCTCCTGGAGCCCGTTTTGGAGTTCCTAGACTCCTTTTTGGCTTCCCAGACCCATTTCTGGGTTCCTAGACCCATTTCTTGATGTCCTAGACCCATTTTCAGGTTCCAAGACCCCATTTCTGTGTTCCTTGACCCATTTTTGAGGTCCTAGACCTATTTTTGAGCTCCTCGACCCATTTTTGAGCTCCTAGACCCATTTCTTCATGTCCTACACCCATTTTTGAGCTCCTAGACCCATTTCTTGATGTTCTACACCCATTTTTGATGTCCTAGACCCATTTCTTGATGCCCTAGTGCTATTATTGACCTCCTAAACCCATTTCTTGAGATCCTAGGACCATTTCTCCATGTCTTAGACCCATTTTTCAATGTTCTACACCCATTTTTGAGCTCCTAGACCCATTTCTCCATGTCCGAGACCCATTTTTTGTCTCCTAAACCCCATTTTTGGTTGTTTTAACCCATTTTTGGTGCCTTTGTTCCAGCCACTGCTCGCGGGGTGGTGATCGCCACCGGGGACCGCACGGTGATGGGTTCCTAGACCCATTTCTTGATGTCCTACACCCATTTTTGAGCTCCTAGACCCATTTCTTGATGTCCTACACCCATTTCTTGATGTCCTAGTCCCATTTCTCCATGTCCAAGACCCATTTTTTGGCTCCTAAACCCCATTTTTGCTTGTTTTAACCCCATTTTTGGTGCCCTTGTTCCAGCCACTGCTCGCGGGGTGGTGATCGCCACCGGGGACCGCATGGTGATGGATTCCTAGACCCATTTCTTTGTGTCCTACACCCATTTTTGAGCTCCTAGACCCATTTTTGAGCTCCTAGACCCATTTCTTGATGCCCTAGTGCTATTATTGACCTCCTAGACAAATTTCTTGAGATCCTAGAGCCATTTCTCCATGTCTTAGACCCATTTTTCAATGTTCTACACCCATTTTTGAGCTCCTAGACCCATTTCTCCATGTCCGAGACCCATTTTTTGTCTCCTAAACCCCATTTTTGGTTGTTTTAACCCATTTTTGGTGCCCTTGTTCCAGCCACTGCTCGCGGGGTGGTGATCGCCACCGGGGCCGCACGGTGATGGGTTCCTAGACCCATTTCTTGATGTCCTACACCCATTTTTGAGCTCCTCGACCCATTTCTTGATGTCCTACACCCATTTCTTGATGTCCTAGTCCCATTTCTCCATGTCCAAGACCCATTTTTTGGCTCCTAAACCCCATTTTTGGTTGTTTTAACCCCATTTTTGGTGCCCTTGTTCCAGGCAGTGCTCGCGGGGTGGTGATCGCCACCGGGGACCGCATGGTGATGGATTCCTAGACCCATTTCTTTGTGTCCTACACCCATTTTTGAGCTCCTAGACCCATTTTTGAGCTCCTAGACCCATTTCTTCATGTCCTACACCCATTTTTGAGCTCCTAGACCCATTTCTTGATGCCCTAGTGCTATTATTGACCTCCTAAACCCATTTCTTGAGATCCTAGAGCTATTTCTCCATGCCTTAGACCCATTTTTCGATGTTCTACACCCATTTTTGAGCTCCTAGACCCATTTCTCCATGTCCGAGACCCATTTTTTGTCTCCTAAACCCCATTTTTGGTTGTTTTAACCCATTTTTGGTGCCCTTGTTCCAGCCACTGCTCGCGGGGTGGTGATCGCCACCGGGGACCGCATGGTGATGGGTTCCTAGACCCATTTCTTGATGTCCTACACCCATTTTTGAGCTCCTCGACCCATTTCTTGATGTCCTACACCCATTTCTCCATGTCCAAGACCCATTTTTGGCTCCTAAACCCCATTTTTGGTTGTTTTAACCCCATTTTTGGTGCCCTTGTTCCAGCCACTGCTCGCGGGGTGGTGATCGCCACCGGGGACCGCACGGTGATGGGTTCCTAGACCCATTTCTTGATGTCCTACACCCATTTTTGAGCTCGTAGACCCATTTTTGAGCTCCTAGACCCATTTCTTCATGTCCTACACCCATTTTTGAGCTCCTAGACCCATTTCTTGATGTTCTACACCCATTTTTGATGTCCTAGACCCATTTCTTGATGCCCTAGTGCTATTATTGACCTCCTAAACCCATTTCTTGAGATCCTAGGACCATTTCTCCATGTCTTAGACCCATTTTTCAATGTTCTACACCCATTTTTGAGCTCCTAGACCCATTTCTCCATGTCCGAGACCCATTTTTTGTCTCCTAAACCCCATTTTTGGTTGTTTTAACCCATTTTTGGTGCCCTTGTTCCAGCCACTGCTCGCGGGGTGGTGATCGCCACCGGGGACCGCACGGTGATGGGTTCCTAGACCCATTTCTTGATGTCCTACACCCATTTTTGAGCTCCTAGACCCATTTCTCCATGTCCAAGACCCATTTCTTGATGTCCTAGTCCCATTTCTCCATGTCCAAGACCCATTTTTTGGCTCCTAAACCCCATTTTTGGTTGTTTTAACCCCATTTTTGGTGCCTTTGTTCCAGGCACTGCTCGCGGGGTGGTGATCGCCACCGGGGACCGCACGGTGATGGGTTCCTAGACCCATTTCTTGATGTCCTACACCCATTTTTGAGCTCCTCGACCCATTTCTTGATGTCCTAGTCCCATTTCTCCATGTCCAAGACCCATTTTTTGGCTCCTAAACCCCATGTTTGGTTGTTTTAACCCCATTTTTGGTGCCTTTGTTCCAGGCACTGCTCGCGGGGTGGTGATCGCCACCGGGGACCGCACGGTGATGGGCCGCATCGCCACGCTGGCATCGGGGCTGGAGGTGGGCAAGACGCCGATCGCGGTGGAGATCGAGCACTTCATCCAGCTCATCACCGGCGTGGCCGTGTTCCTGGGCATCTCCTTCTTCATCCTCTCCCTCATCCTGGGGTACACCTGGCTCGAGGCCGTCATCTTCCTCATCGGCATCATCGTGGCCAACGTGCCCGAGGGGCTGCTGGCCACCGTCACCGTAAGTTGGGGCGGGTACGGGGTGATGTATGGGGTGATGGATGGGGTGCTGGAAGGGGTGATGTATAGGGTGTAGGGGTGATGTATGGTGTGTAGGGGTGATGTGTGGGGTGATGTATGGGGTGTAGGGATAATGTATGGAGTGATGTGTGGGGTGATGTATGGCGTGATGTATGGGGTGTAGCGGTAATGTATGGGGTGACGTATAGGGTGTAGGTGTGATGGATGGGGTGATGGATGGGGTGTAGGGGTGATGGATGGGATAATGGATGGGATGATGTATGGGGTGTCGGGGTAATTTATGAGGTGATCTATGGGGTGATGTATAGGGTGATGTATGGGGTGTAGGGATAATGGATGGGGTGTAGGTGTGATGGATGGGGTGACATATGGGGTGTAGGGGTGATGCGTGGGGTGATGCATGGGGTGATGTATGGGGTGATGTGTGTGGTGATGCCTGGGGTGTAGGGGTGATGTATGGGGTGTAGGGATAAAGTATGGAGTGATGTGTGGGGTGATGTATGGGGTGTAGGGGTAATGTATGGGGTGACATATAGGGTGTAGGCGTGATGTATAGGGTGATGTATGAGGTGATGTATGGGGTGTAGGGGTGATGGATGGGGTGATGGATTGGGTGATGTACAGGATGTAGGGGTGATGTATGAGGTGATATATGGGATGATGTATGGGGTGTAGGGGTAATTTATGGGGTGATGTATGGAGTGATGTATGGGGTGTAGGGGTAATGTATGGGGTGTAGGTGTGACGGATGGGGTGATGTATAGGGTGTAGGGGTGATGTATGGGGTGATGTATGGGGTGTAGGGGTGATGGATGGGCTGATGGATGGGGTGTAGGCATGATGGATGGGGTGAGGTATGGGGTGTGGGGGTGATGTATGGGGTGATGTATGGGGTGATGTATGGGGTGATGTATGGGGTGATGCATGGGGTGATGTATGGAGTGGTGCGTGGGGTGACGTACAGGTAGCAGAGGGTAATATATAGATGTATGGTGTCAATATATGGGTTGTAAGGGGCTATATATGGGGTGATATGTGGATCATAGAGGGCAATGTATGGGGTCAATACATGGGTGCTAGGGTGCAACATATAGATGCATGGGGGCAATATAGGGCGTGCAGGGGGCGATATATGGGGTGACAGGTGTGATATATGGGGCAAGGAGGGCAACATATGGGTTGTAAGGGGGGGTATAGGGGGTGCAGGGGCGATATATGGGGTGACAGGTGCAATATATGGGGCAATGGAGGTGACGTATGGGGTGTAACAGGTAATGTATGGGTGTATAGGGGCTATATATGGGGTGCTGGGGCAGTATGTGGGGTTCAGGATCCATATATGGGGAGTCTGGGTCCAGTATCGGGGTGCCATAGGTGCTCCATACACCCCATAGGGACCCCATGCCCAGCATAGGGCTGCAGCCTGACTTTGGAAGCTAAGCAGGCTTGGCCCTGGTCAGCACTTGGATGGGAGACCTTTGTTGACCATAGGGTTCTGGGTTCGAATCCCCCCATGCATCACCCATACCGGAGGGTCCCATGGGTGCTGTGTGACCCCCCCCCCATAGGTGTGCTTGACGCTGACGGCCAAGCGCATGGCACGCAAGAACTGCTTGGTGAAGAACCTGGAGGCGGTGGAGACCTTGGGCTCCACGTCCACCATCTGCTCCGACAAGACCGGGACCCTCACCCAAAACCGTATGACCGTGGCCCATATGTGGTTCGACAACCAGATCCATGAGGCCGACACCACCGAGGACCAGTCCGGTGCGTGATGGGGGCCGGCTATTAGATGGTGATTGGGGTCTATTGGGGGGTCTTTGGTATCTGTTGGGCATCTCTGGGGGGGCTCTATGGGGTCTATGAGGTGTTTATTGGGGTCTATGGGGTCTTTCTGGGGTCTATGGGGGGTCTATGGAGGGTTCGTTGGGGTGTCTACGGGGGTCTATTGACGTCTATGGGGTCTCTATGGTGTCTCTATTGATGTCCATGAGGTCTCTGTTGACATCTATGGGGTCTCTATGGCATCTCTATTGATGTCTATGGGGTGTCTTTTGACATCTATGGGGTCTCTATGGCGTCTCTATTGACGTCTATGGGGTCTCTATGGCATCTCTGTTGACATCTATGGGGTCTCTATGGCATCTCTATTGATGTCTATGGGGTGTCTGTTGACATCTATGGGGTCTCTATGGTGTCTCTATTGACGTCTATGGCGTCTCTGTTGACATCTATGGGGTCTCTATGGCGTCTCTGTTGACGTCTATGGGGTCTCTATGGCGTCTCTGTTGACGTCTATGGGGTCTCTATGGCGTCTCTGTTGACGTCTATGGGGTCTCTATGGCATCTCTGTTGATGTCTATGGGGTCTCTATGGCGTCTCTGTTGACGTCTATGGGGTCTCTATGGCATCTCTATTGACATCTATGGGGTCTCTATGGTGTCTCTGTTGACATCTATGGGGTCTCTATGGCATCTCTATTGACATCTATGGGGTCTCTATGGTGTCTCTGTTGACGTCTATGGGGTCTCTATGGCATCTCTATTGACATCTATGGGGTCTCTATGGTGTCTCTGTTGACATCTATGGGGTCTCTATGGTGTCTCTGTTGACGTCTATGGGGTCTCTATGGCATCTCTATTGACGTCTATGGGGTCTCTATGGCATCTCTATTGACATCTATGGGGTCTCTATGGTGTCTCTGTTGACATCTATGGGGTCTCTATGGCATCTCTATTGACATCTATGGGGTCTCTATGGTGTCTCTGTTGACATCTATGGGGTCTCTATGGCGTCTCTGTTGATGTCTATGGGGTCTCTATGGTGTCTCTGTTGGCATCTATGGGGTCTCTATGGTGTCTCTGTTGACATCTATGGGGTCTCTATGGCATCTCTGTTGATGTCTATGGGGTCTCTATGGTGTCTCTGTTGACATCTATGGGGTCTCTATGGCGTCTCTACTGATGTCTATGAGGTCTCTATTGATGTCTATGGGGGGCCTATGAGGTCTCTCTGGGGTCTCCCTGAGGTCTATGGGAGGTCTATTGCAGTCTATAGGGTGTCTATGGGGTCTCTCTGTGGCCTGTTTGGGGTCTATTGGGGTCTATGGCATCTCTATGGGCATCTATTGGGGTCTCTACGGCATCTCTATTGATGTCTATGAGGTCTCTATAGGGTCTCTATAGGGTCTCTGTTGATGTCTATGGGGTCTCTATTGATGCCTATGAGGTGTCTATAGGGTCTCTATGGGGTCTCTATTGATGTCTATGGGGTCTCTGATGTCTAGGGGGGCTCTATTGATGTCTGTGGGTCTCTAGTGTATGTCTATGGAGTCTCTAGTGACATCTTTGAGGTCTCTTGATGTCTATGGGTCCCTATAGGGTCCCTATGATGTCTCTATTGATGTCTATGGGGGGTCTATTAGTATGTAAGGAGTCTCTATATAGGGTCTCTATAGGGTGTCTATGGGGTCTCTATTGGTGTCTATGGGGTCTGTATAGGATCTCTATTGGGTGTCTATAGGGTCTCTATGGGTCTCTGTTGATGTCTATGAGGTCTCTACTGATTATGGAGTCTCTATAGGGTCTCTATGTGGTTTCTATGTGTCTCTATGGGGTCTGTATGGGTCTCTATTGAGTCTCTATGGGTCTCTATGGGTCTCTATGGGTCTCTATGGGTCTGACCCCCCTATGTCTCCCCCCCAGGCACCGCCTTTGACAAGAGCTCAGCCACATGGGTGGCTCTGTCCCACATCGCGGGGCTCTGCAACCGCGCCGTCTTCAAGGGGGGGCAGGAGAACGTCCCCATCCTCAAGGTAACAATGGGGGGCAATGGGGGTAATGGAGACAATGGGGTCAATGGGGACCATGGGGTTGATGGGGGTAATGAGGTCAATGGGGACAATGGGGTCAATGGGGACAATGGGGGTAATGGAAGCAAAGGGGACAACGGGGCAAAGGGGGGCAATGGAAGCAACGGGGGCAATGGGGACAATGGGGTCAATGGGGGACAATGGAAGCAATGGGGTCAATGAGAGCAATGGGGTCAATGGGGACAATGGTGTCAATGGGTGACAATGGGGTCAATGGGGTCAAGGGGTGCAATGGGGTCAATGGGGACAATGGGTACAACGGGGTCAATGGTGGTCAATGGCTGACAGTGGCGTCAATGGGTACAATGGGGTCAATGGGGGACAATGGGGTCAATGGGACAATGGAAGCAATGGGGTCAATGGGGACAAGAGGGACAATGGGGGTCAATGGGGCCAATGGTGATCAGTGGGGCCAATGGTGGTCAATGGGGTCAATGGGGTCAATGGTGGTCAATGGGGGTTAATGGGGCCAATGGGGGTCAATGGAAGCAATAGGGCTCAATGGGGCCAATGGTGGTCAATGGGGTCAATGGGGCCAGTGGTGGTCAATGGGGCCAGTGGTGGTCAATGGGGTCAATGGGGCTCAATGGGGCCAATGGGGCTCAATGGGGCCAATGGTGGTCAATGGTGGTCAATGGGGCCAATGGGGGCCAATGGGGCTCAATGGGGCCAGTGGTGGTCAATGGTGGTCAATGGGGCCAATGGTGGTCAATGGGGCCAATGGTGATCAATGGGGCTCAATGGAGCCAATGGTGGTCAATGGGCCAATGGTGATCAGTGGGGCCAATGGTGGTCAATGGGGCCAATGGGGCTCAATGGGATCAATGGGGCTCAATGGGGCTCAATGGGGCCAATGGTGATCAATGGGGCTCAATGGGGCTCAATGGGGCCAATGGGGCTCAATGGGGCCAATGGTGATCAATGGGGCTCAATGGGGCCAATGGTGATCAATGGGGCTCAATGGGGCCAGTGGGGCTCAATGGGGCCAATGGTGGTCAATGGGGTCAATGGGGCCAGTGGTGGTCAATGGGGCCAGTGGTGGTCAATGGGGTCAATGGGGCTCAATGGGGCCAATGGGGCTCAATGGGGCCAATGGTGGTCAATGGTGGTCAATGGGGCCAATGGGGGCCAATGGGGCTCAATGGGGCCAATGGTGGTCAATGGTGGTCAATGGGGCCAATGGTGGTCAATGGGGCCAATGGTGATCAATGGGGCTCAATGGAGCCAATGGTGGTCAATGGGCCAATGGTGATCAGTGGGGCCAATGGTGGTCAATGGGGCCAATGGGGCTCAATGGGATCAATGGGGCTCAATGGGGCTCAATGGGGCCAATGGTGATCAATGGGGCTCAATGGGGCTCAATGGGGCTCAATGGGGCTCAATGGGGCCAATGGTGATCAATGGGGCTCAATGGGGCCAATGGTGGTCAATGGGGCCAATGGTGATCAATGGGGCTCAATGGGGCCAATGGTGATCAATGGGGCTCAATGGGGCCAGTGGGGCTCAATGGGGCCAATGGTGGTCAATGGTGGTCAATGGGGCCAATGGTGGTCAATGGGGCCAATGGTGATCAATGGGGCTCAATGGGGCCAATGGGGGCCAATGGGGCTCAATGGGGCCAATGGTGGTCAATGGTGGTCAATGGGGCCAATGGTGATCAGTGGGGCCAATGGTGATCAATGGTGGTCAATGGGGCCAATGGTGATCAGTGGGGCCAATGGTGATCAATGGGGCTCAATGGGGCCAATGGTGATCAATGGGGCCATGGGGTCCCCCCTCATCCCGTTGCATCCATCCCCGTTCCCAGCGGGACGTGGCCGGGGACGCCTCGGAGTCGGCGCTGCTCAAGTGCATCGAGCTCTCGTCCGGCTCCGTCAAGCTCATGCGGGAGCGCAACAAGAAAGTGGCCGAGATCCCCTTCAACTCCACCAACAAGTACCAGGTACCCAATGGGAGGCGCCCCACAGCCTGCGGGAGGAGCCCCACATCCAATGGGAAACACCCTATATCCAATGGGAGACACCCTAAATACAATGGGAGACATCCCACATCCAATGGGAGACATCCCACATCCAATGGGAAACACCCTATATCCAATGGGAGACACCCTAAATACAATGGGAGACATCCCACATCCAATGGGAGACATCCCACATCCAATGGGAAACACCCTATATCCAATGGGAGACACCCTAAATACAATGGGATACATCCCATCCAATGGGAGACATCCCACATCCAATGGGAAACACCCTATATCCAATGGGAGACACCCTAAATACAATGGGAGACATCCCATCCAATGGGAGACATCCCACATCCAATGGGAGACATCCCACATCCAATGGGAAACACCCTATATCCAATGGGAGACACCCTAAATACAATGGGAGACATCCCATCCAATGGGAGACATCCCACATCCAATGGGAGACATCCCACATCCAATGGGAAACACCCTATATCCAATGGGAGACACCCTAAATACAATGGGAGACATCCCACATCCAATGGGAGACATCCCACATCCGATGGGAGACATCCCACATCCAATGGGAAACACCCTATATCCAATGGGAGACACCCTAAATACAATGGGATACATCCCATCCAATGGGAGACATCCCACATCCAATGGGAAACACCCTATATCCAATGGGAGACACCCTAAATACAATGGGAGACATCCCATCCAATGGGAGACATCCCACATCCAATGGGAAACACCCTATATCCAATGGGAGACACCCTAAATACAATGGGATACATCCCACATCCAATGGGAGACATCCCACATCCAATGGGAAACACCCTATATCCAATGGGAGACACCCTAAATACAATGGGAGGCACCCCACATCCAATGGGAGGCACTCGAAATACAATGGGGGACACCCCACATCCTGTGGGAGGCACCCCACATCCAATGGGAAACACCCTATATCCAATGGGAGACAACCTAAATACAATGGGAGGCACCCCACATCCAGTGGGAGACAACCCACATCCAATGGGAGGCACCCCACATCCAATGGGAGGCACCCCAAATCCAATGGGAGGCACCCCACATCCAATGGGAAACACCCTATATCCAATGGGAGACACCCTAAATACAATGGGAGGCACCCCACATCCAATGGGAGACACCCTAAATACAATGGGAGACATCCCACATCCTGTGGGAGGCACCCCACATCCAATGGGAGACAACCTAAATACAATGGGAGGCACCCCACATCCAATGGGAGACACCGTAAATGCAATGGGAGGCACCCCACATCCAATGGGAGGCACCTCACATCCTGTGGGAGGCACCCCACATCCAATGGGAGACAACCTAAATACAATGGGAGACACCCCACATCCCATGGGAGACTCCCCATCCCCATTCCTCCCCTATCCCCATATCCCCCCATTCTCTTTTCCTCCCTATCCCCATACCCCCCCATCCCCATTCCCATTCCCACCCCCATCCCCATATCCCCCCATTCCCATCCCCCCCATCCCCATATCCCCCCATTCCCATCCCCCCCATCCCCATATCCCCCCATTTCCATTCCCATTCCCCCCTATCCCCCCATTCCCATTCCCATTCCCCCCTATCCCCATATCCCCCCATTCCCATTCCCCCCCATCCCCATATCCCCCCATCCCCATTCCCATTCCCCCCTATCCCCATATCCCCCCATTCTCTTTTCCCCCTATCCCCATATCCTCCCATCCCCACTCCCATGCCCCCCCCATCCCCATATCCCCCCATTCCCATTCCCCCTATCCCCATATCCCCCATCCCCATTCCCATTCCCCCCTATCCCCATATCCCCCCATCCCCATTCCCATTCCCCCTATCCCCATATCCCCCATCCCCATTCCCATTCCCCCCTATCCCCATATCCCCCCATTCCCATTCCCCCATATCCCCCCAACCCCATTCCCATTCTTCCCCCCATCCCCATATCCCCCATTCCCATTCCTATCCTCCCCTATCCCCATATCCCCCATCCCCATTCCCATTCCCCCCCATCCCCATATCCCCCCATCCGCATTCCCATTCCCCCCTATCCCCATATCCCCCATCCCCATTCTCTTTTCCCCCCCATCCCCATATCCCCCATCCCCATTCCCATTCCCCCCATCCCCATATCCCCCCATTCCCATTCCCCCTATCCCCATATCCCCCATCCCCATTCCCATTCCCCCTATCCCCATATCCCCCCATCCCCATTCCCATTCCCCCCATCCCCATATCCCCCATCCCCATTCCCATTCCCCCTATCCCCATATCCCCCCATTCCCATTCCCCCATATCCCCCCATCCCCATTCCCATTCCCCCCATCCCCATATCCCCCCATCCCCATTCCCATTCCCCCCTATCCCCATATCCCCCCATCCCCATTCCCCCCATCCCCATATCCCCCCATCCCCATTCCCATTCCCCCCTATCCCCATATCCCCCCATCCCCATTCCCCCCATCCCCATATCCCCCCATCCCCATTCCCATTCCCCCCTATCCCCATATCCCCCCATCCCCATTCCCCCCCATCCCCATATCCCCCCATCCCCATCCCCATTCCCCCCATCCCCATCTCCCCTCCACCCCCCCCCCCATTCCCACCCCCTAACCCCCCTCTCTATCCCTCTCCCTTGCCCCCTATAACTCAGTATGTGGGGCAGGCTCACCCCTTGGCCCCATAGATCCCCTCTATGTCACCCCACAGCTCTCCATCCACGAGACCGAGGATCCCAACGACAACCGGTACCTGTTGGTGATGAAGGGGGCACCGGAACGCATCCTGGATCGGTGTTCCACGATCCTGCTCCAGGGCAAGGAGCAACCCTTGGATGAGGAGATGAAGGAAGCCTTCCAGAACGCATACCTGGAGCTTGGGGGGCTCGGGGAGAGGGTCCTGGGTAAGGGGGCGGAGAGGGGGATATAGGGATATAGGGATATAGGGGGATATAGGGGGATATAGGGGGATATAGGGATGGGGACGCAAGGAGCAACCCTTGGATGAGGAGATGAAGGAAGCCTTCCAGAACGCATACCTGGAGCTTGGGGGGCTCGGGGAGAGGGTCCTGGGTAAGGGGGCGGAGAGGGGGATATAGGGATATAGGGATATAGGGGGATATAGGGGGATATAGGGGGATATAGGGATGGGGACGCAAGGAGCAACCCTTGGATGAGGAGATGAAGGAAGCCTTCCAGAACGCATACCTGGAGCTTGGGGGGCTCGGAGAGAGGGTCCTGGGTAAGGGGGCGGAGAGGGGGATATAGGGATATAGGGATATAGGGGGATATAGGGGGATATAGGGGGATATAGGGATGGGGACGCAAGGAGCAACCCTTGGATGAGGAGATGAAGGAAGCCTTCCAGAACGCATACCTGGAGCTTGGGGGGCTCGGGGAGAGGGTCCTGGGTAAGGGGGCGGAGAGGGGGATATAGGGATATAGGGATATAGGGATATAGGGGGATATAGGGGGATATAGGGATGGGGACGCAAGGAGCATCCCTTGGATGAGGAGATGAAGGAAGCCTTCCAGAACGCATACCTGGAGCTTGGGGGGCTCGGGGAGAGGGTCCTGGGTAAGGGGGCGGAGAGGGGGATATGGGGATATAGGGATATAGGGATATAGGGGGATATAGGGATATAGGGGGATATAGGGATGGGGATATAGAGGGATGGGGATATAGGGGGATAGAGGGATAGCGGAGGATAGGGATGGGGGTATAGGGGGGATATAGGGATGGGGATATAGGGATGGGGATAAAGGGATGGAGATATAGGGGGATATAGGGATGGGGATATAGAGGGATGGGGTTATAGGGAGGGGGATATAGGGGGATATAGGGATAGGGATATAGGGATGGAGATATAGGGGGATATAGGTATGGGGATATAGGGATGGAGATATAGGGGGATATAGGTATGGGGATATAGGGATGGGGTTATAGGGATCGAGGTAGAGGGATGGGGATATAGGTGGATATAGGGATGGGGTTATAGGGATGGGGGTAGAGGGATGAGGGTAGAGGGATGGGGATATAGGGATGGGGATAGAGGGATGGAGATATAGGGGTTATAGGGATGGGGATATAGGGATGGGGGTATAGGGGGATATAGGTATAGGGATATAGGGATGGGGTTATAGGGATGGGGTAGAGGGATGGGGATATAGGTGGATATAGGAATGGGGTTATAGGGATGGGGATACAGGGATGGGGATACAGGGATGGGGATATAGGGGGGATATAGGGATGGGGGTATAGGGATAGGGATATAGGGATGGGGATATAGGGATGGGGATGTAGGGGGATATAGGGATGGAGATATAGGGATGGGGATAGAGGTATGGGGATAGAGGGATGGGGATATAGGGGGGATATAGGGATGGGGGTATAGGGATAGGCATATAGGGATGGGGATATAGGGCTGGGGATATAGGGGGATATAGGGATGGGGGTATAGGTGGACATAGAGGGTGAGGATGGGGATATAGGGGGGGATATCCCTATAGGATGAGATGGGAATGGGGCTCGGGGGGGGATATAGGGGGATACGGGCGTCCCTGGGGGGCTGAGGATGGGATATGGGGTCCCTGAGGTCCTTGGGATATGGGGCTATGGAAGTGCAGAGGGGCTGAAAGGGATCTATAGGGCTACAAAGAGGGGTGTTTGGGGTATAAAAAGGGTGTTTTGGGGTGCAAAGGGAGTATTTTGGGTACAAAAAGGGTGTTTTGGGGTGCAAAGGGAGTATTTTGGGTACAAAAAGGCTGTTTTGGGGTGCAAAGGGAGTATTTTGGGTACAAAAAGGGTGTTTTGGGGTGCAAAGGGAGTATTTTGGGTACAAAAAGGGTGTTTTGGGGTGCAAAGGGAGTATTTTGGGTACAAAAAGGGTGTTTTGGGGGGCAAAGGGAGTATTTTGGGTACAAAAAGGGTGTTTTGGGGTGCAAAGGGAGTATTTTGGGTACAAAAAGGGTGTTTTGGGGTGCAAAGGGAGTATTTTGGGTACAAAAAGGGTGTTTTGGGGTGCAAAGGGAGTATTTTGGGTACAAAAAGGGTGTTTTGGGGTGCAAAGGGAGTATTTTGGGTACAAAAAGGGTGTTTTGGGGTGCAAAGGGAGTATTTTGGGTACAAAAAGGGTGTTTTGGGGTGCAAAGGGTGTATTTTGGGTACAAAAAAGGTGTTTTGGGGTGCAAAGGGGTAGAAAAGGGTTCAAAAGAGGTGTTTTGGGGCACAAAAGGGGTGTTTGGGGCTGCAAAAGGGGGGGTTGGCACAAAAAGGGGTGGTTTTGGGGTACAAATGGGGTGTTTTGGGGTACAAATGGGGTGTTTGGGGCACAAAAGGGGGTGTTTTGTTGTAGGAAAGGGGTATTTTGGGGTTCAAAGTGAGTGTTTTGGGGCAGAAATGGGGTATTTGGGGGGAGAAACGGGTAATTTTGGGGTACAAAGGGAGTAGTTTGGGGCACAAAAGGGGTGTTTGGTGCAGAAAAGGTGGATTTTGGGGTAAAAATGGGTATTTTGGGGGACAAAAGTGATATTTTGTGGTACAAAGGGAGTATTTTGGGGCACAAAAGGGGCATTTTGAGGCATAAAAGGGGTTTTGGGGTACAAAAGGGGTATTTTGAGGTACAAAAGGGGTGTTTTTGGGTACAAAAGGTATTTTGGGGTGCAAAAGAGGTGGTTTGGGGCACAAAATTGATGTTTTGGGGTACAAAGGGAGTGTTTTGGGTCACAAAAGGGGTACTTGAAAGTAGAAAGGGGTAAGTTTGGGGTACAAAGGGAGTGTTTTGGGGTACAAAAGAGGTGTTTTGGGGTAGAAAGGGGTAAGTTTGGGGTACAAAGAGTATATTTTGGGGTACAAAGGGAGTATTTTGGGGTAAAAATGGGTATTTTGGGGTATAAAAGTGGTATTTTAGGTTACAAAGGCAGTATTTGGGGGCAGAAAAGGGGTGGTTTGGGGTTCAAAGGGAGTATTTTGGGGTAGAAAAGGAGTGTTTTGGGGCACAAAAGGGAGTATTTTGGGGGAGAAAAGGGGTGTTTTGGGGTACAAAGGGCGTATTTTGGGGTAGAAAAGGGGTGTTTTGGGGCACAAAAGGGGTATTTTGGGGTAGAAAAGGGGTGTTTTGGGGCACAAAAGGGGTATTTTGGGGTAGAAAAGGGGTGTTTGGGGGCACAAAGGGAGTATTTTGGGGTAGAAAAGGGGTGTTTTGGGGCACAAAAGGGGTATTTTGGGGTAGAAAACGGGTGTTTTGGGGTACAAATGAAGTATTTTGGGGTAGAAAAGGGGTGTGTTGGAGCACAAAAGGGGTATTTTGGGGTAGAAAAGATGTGTTTTGGGGCACAAAAGAGGTATTTTGGGGTAGAAAAGGGGTGTTTTGGGGCACAAAAGGGGTATTTTGGGGTAGAAAAGGGGTGTTTTGGGGTACAAAGGGTGTATTTTGGGATAGAAAAGGAGTGTTTTGGGGTAGAAAAGGAGTATTTTGGGGTAGAAAAGGGTTGTTTTGGGGCACAAAAGTGGTATTTTGGCAGAGAAAAGGGATGTTTTGGGGTATAAAGGGAGTATTTTGGGGTAGAAAGGGGTAAGTTTGGGGTAGAAAGGGAGTATTTTGGGGTCAAAAAGGGGTGTTTCAGGGCACAAAAGGGGTATTTTGGGGTACAAAGGGCGTATTTTGGGGTAGAAAAGGGGTGTTTTGGGGCACAAAAGGGGTATTTTGGCAGAGAAAAGGGATGTTTTGGTGTATAAAGGGAGTATTTTGGGGTAGAAAGGGGTAAGTTTGGGGTAGAAAGGGAGTATTTTGGGGTAGAAAAGGAGTGTTTTGGGGTACAAAAGGAGTATTTTGGGGTAGAAAAGTGGTGTTTTGGAGTAAAAAGGGAGCATTTTGGGGTAGAAAAGGTGTGCTTTGGGGTACAAAAGGGGTATTTTAGGGTAGAAAAAGGGTGTTTTGGAGTAGAAAGGGAGTATTTTGGGATAGAAAAGGGGTGTTTTGGGGTGCAAAGGAAGTATTTTGGGGTAGAAAAGTGGTGTTTTTGAGTAAAAAGGGAGCATTTTGGGGTAGAAAAGGTATGTTTTGGGGTACAAAAGGGGTATTTTAGGGTAGAAAAAGGGTGTTTTGGAGTAGAAAGGGAGTATTTTGGGGTAGAAAAGGTGTGTTTTGGGGTACAAAGGAAGTATTTTGGGGTAGAAAAGTGGTGTTTTGGAGTAAAAAGGGAGTATTTTGGGGTAGAAAAGGTGTGTTTTGGGGTACAAAAGGAGTATTTTGGGGTAGAAAAGGGGTGTTTTGGAGTAAAAAGGGAGCATTTTGGGGTAGAAAAGGTGTGTTTTGGGTGCAAAAGGAGTATTTTAGGGTAGAAAAAGAGTGTTTTGGAGTAGAAAGGGAGTATTTTGGGGTAGAAAAGGGGTGTTTTGGGGCACAAAGGGGGTATTTTGGCAGAGAAAAGGGATGTTTTGGGGTATGAAAGGTGTATTTTGGGGTAGAAAGGGGTAAGTTTGGGGTAGAAAGGAAGTATTTTGGGGTAGAAAAGGTGTGTTTTGGGGTACAAAGGGCATATTTTGGGGTAGAAAAGTGTTTTGGAGTAAAAAGCGAGCATTTTGGGGTAGAAAAGGAGTGTTTTGGGGTACAAAGGAAGTATTTTGGGGTAGAAAAGTGGTGTTTTGGAGTTAAAAGCGAGCATTTTGGGGTAGAAAAGGAGTGTTTTGGGGTACAAAAGGAGTATTTTGGGGTGGAAAAGTGGTGTTTTTGAGTAAAAAGGGAGCATTTTGGGGTAGAAAAGGTGTGTTTTGGGGTACAAAAGGGGTATTTTAGGGTAGAAAAAGGGTGTTTTGGGGTCGGGGGGGTCTGACCCTTGTTCCTGCCCCCCAGGTTTCTGCCACTTTTACCTGCCCGAGGACCAGTACCCGAAGGGCTTCGCCTTCGACTGCGACGACGTCAACTTCGCCACCGACAACCTCTGCTTCGTGGGGCTCATGTCCATGATCGACCCCCCCGTGCCGCCGTACCCGATGCCGTGGGCAAGTGCCGCAGCGCCGGCATCAAGGTGAGACCCGAAACCGGCCCAAAAAGAGACCCAAAAGAGACCCAAACCAGCTGAAAATAGCCCCAAAAAAGAGGAAAATTGCTCCAAAACTGAGGAAAATAGCTCCAAAACCAGCTGAATTCAACCCGAAAATAGCCCCCAAACAGGAAAATAGCTGCAAAACAGCCGAATTCAGCCCAAAAAGAGACCCAAACCAGCCAAAAATAGCCCCAAAACTGAGGAAAATAGCTCCAAAACCAGCTGAATTCAACCTGAAAATAGCCCCAAAACCGGAAAATAGCTCCAAAACAGCCGAATTCAGCCCAAAAAGAGACCCAAACCAGCCAAAAATAGCCCAAAAAAAGAGGAAAATTGCTCCAAAACTGAGGAAATTGCTCCAAAACCAGCTGAATTCAACCCGAAAATAGCCCCAAAACAGGAAAATAGCTGCAAAACACCCGAATTCAGCCCAAAAAGAGACCCAAACCAGCCAAAAATAGCCCAAAAAAAGAGGAAAATTGCTCCAAAACAGAGGAAAATTGCTCCAAAACCAGCTGAATTCAACCCGAAAATAGCCCCAAAACAGGAAAATAGCTGCAAAACAGCCGAATTCAGCCCAAAAAGAGACCCAAACCAGCCAAAAATAGCCCCAAAACTGAGGAAAATAGCTCCAAAACCGGCAAATTCAGCCAAAAAATAGCCGAAAATAGCCCCCAAACAGGAAAATAGCTGCAAAACAGCCGAATTCAGCCCAAAAAGAGACCCAAACCAGCCAAAAATAGCCCAAAAAAAGAGGAAAATTGCTCCAAAACTGAGGAAAATAGCTCCAAAACCAGCTGAATTCAACCCGAAAATAGCCCCCAAACAGGAAAATAGCTGCAAAACAGCCGAATTCAGCCCAAAAAGAGACCCAAACCAGCCAAAAATAGCCCCAAAAAAGAGGAAAGTTGCTCCAAAACTGAGGAAAATAGCTCCAAAACCAGCTGAATTCAACCCGAAAATAGCCCCAAAACCGGAAAATAGCTGCAAAACAACTGAATTCAGCCCAAAAAGAGACCCAAACCAGCCAAAAATAGCCCCAAAAAAGAGGAAAATTGCTCCAAAACAGAGGAAAATAGCTCCAAAACCAGCTGAATTCAACCCCAAAATAGCCCCAAAACAGGAAAGTAGCTGCAAAACAGCCGAATTCAGCCCAAAAAGAGACCCAAACCAGCCAAAAATAGCCCCAAATTAGAGGAAAGTTGCTCCAAAACAGAGGAAAATAGCTCCAAAACCAGCTGAATTCAACCCGAAAATAGCCCCCAAACAGGAAAATAGCTCCAAAACCAGCTGAATTCAACCCGAAAATAGCCCCAAAACAGGAAAATAGCTGCAAAACAGCCGAATTCAGCCCAAAAAGAGACCCAAACCAGCCAAAAATAGCCCCAAAAAAGAGGAAAGTTGCTCCAAAACTGAGGAAAATAGCTCCAAAACCAGCTGAATTCAACCTGAAAATAGCCCCAAAACAGGAAAATAGCTGCAAAACAGCCGAATTCAGCCCAAAAAGAGACCCAAACCAGCTGAAAATAGCCCCAAAAAAGAGGAAAATTGCTCCAAAACTGAGGAAAATAGCTCCAAAACCAGCTGAATTCAACCCGAAAATAGCCCCAAAACAGGAAAGTAGCTGCAAAACAGCCGAATTCAGCCAAAAAGAGACCCAAACCAGCCAAAAATAGCTCCCAAAACCACTCAAATCACCCCAAATCACCCCAATCCTCCCCAAACCACTCAAATCCCCCCAAAATCACCCCCAAATCCCCCAAAATCACCCAAATCACCCCAAATCCCCAAAAATGACCCCATATCCCCCCAAAATGACCCCAAATCTCCAAAAAATCACCCAAATCACCCCAAAATCACCTGCAAATCCCCCCAAAATCCCCCAAAATCCCCCCAAATCTGCCCAAAATCACCCAAATACCCCCAATTCACCCCAAATCCCCCCAATCATCCCAAATCCCCCCAAAATCACCCAAATCCCCCCAAATCCCCCCAAATCCCTCCAAATCACCCCAAACACCCCCAAATCACCTGAATACCCCAAATCACGCAACTCACCCGAAATCCCCCCAAAATCACCCCCAAATCCCCCAAAATCACCCCAAATCACCCTAAATGACCCCATATCCCCACAAATCCCCCAAAATCCCCCAAAATGACCCCAAATCCCCCCAAATCACCCCAAAATCACCCAAAATCACCCAAAATCACCACCAAATCACCCAAATGCCGCCAATACACCCCAAATCCCCCAAAATCACCCCAAATCCCCCCAAGATCACTCAAATCACCCCAAATACACCCAAATCCCCCAAAATCTCCCAAACCCCCCCAAATCCCCCCCACATCCCCCCAAAAATCCCCCCAAAATCACCCCAAAATCCCTCCCAAATCCCCAAAAATCCCCCAAAATCCCCCAAAATCACCCCCAAATCCCACAAAATCACCCAAATCCCCCCAAAATCCCCCCCAAAATCCCCCCAAAATCCCCAAAAATCCCCCCAAAAATCCCCCCAAAATTCCCCCAAAATCCCCCAAAATCCCCCAAATCCCCCCAAATCACCCCAAAATTACCCCCAAATCCCACAAAATCACCCAAATCCCCCCAACTCCCCCCCAAATTCCCCCAAAATCCCCCCAAAATCCCCCAAACCCCCCCAAATCCCCCCAAAATCCCCCAAAATCCCCCCAAAATCCCCCCAAAATCACCCATAGATCACCCAAAATCCCCCCAAAATCCCCCAAAAAATCCCCCCAAAATCCCCCCAAATCCCCACAAAATCACCCCCAAATCCCACAAAATCCCCCAAATCCCCCCAAAATCACCCCAAAATCACCCAAAAATCACCCCAAAATCCCCCAAATCACCCCAAAAATCCCCCCAAATCACCCCAAATCACCCCAAAAATCCCCCCCGAATCCCCCAAAATCCCCCCCAAATCCCCTCAAAATCCCCAAAATCCCCCCAAATCCCCCCAAAATCCCCCAAATCCCCCCAAATCACCCCAAAAATCCCCCCAAAATCCCCCAAATCCCCCCAAATCCCCCAAAATCACCCCCAAATCCCCCCCAAATCCCCCAAATCCCCCCAAATCCCAAAAAAATCTCCCCAAAAATCACCAAAAATCACCCAAAATCCCCCAAAATCCCCCCAAATCCGCCCAACTCCCCCCCCAAATCCCCCCAAATCCCCCAAATCCGCCCAACTCCCCCCAAAATCCTCCAAAAACCCCCAAATCCCCCCAAAATCCCCCCCCAAATCCCCCAAAATCCCCCCAAATCCCCCCAAAATCCCCCAAAATCCCCCAAATCCCCCCAAACCCCCCAAAATCCCCCAAAAATCCTCTAAAATCACCCCAAATCACCCCAAAAATCCCCCCCGAATCCCCCAAAATCCCCCCCAAATCCCCTCAAAATCCCCCAAAATCCCCCCCAAATCCCCCAAAATCCCCCAAATCCCCCCAAATCACCCCAAAAATCCCCCAAAAATCCCCCAAAATCCCCCAAATCCGCCCAACTCCCCCCATCCCGCCCCATAGGTGATCATGGTGACCGGGGACCACCCCATCACGGCCAAGGCCATCGCCAAGGGGGTCGGGATCATCTCCGAGGGCAACGAGACCGTGGAGGACATCGCGGCGCGGCTCAACATCCCCGTCAGCCAGGTCAACCCCCGGTGCGTGCTATGGGGCGCTATGGGGCGCTGGGGGGTGCTGTGGGGCTCTATGGGTGCCATAGAACACTATGGGGCTCTATGGGCTGCTGTGGGTGCTATGGGTTGCCTTGGGGCTCTATGGGTGCCATAGGGCACTATGGGGCGCTATGGGGCACTGTGGGGCGCTGTGGGAATCTATGGGTGCCATAGGGCACTATGGGGCTCTATGGGCTGCTGTGGGTGCTATGGGGCGCTGTGGGGCTCTATGGGTGCCATAGGGCACTATGGGGCTCTATGGGCTGCTGTGGGTGCTATGGGGTGCCGTGGGGCTCTATGGGTGCCATAGGGCACTATGGGGCGCTATGGGGCGCTGTGGGGCTCTATGGGTGCCATAGGGCACTATGGGGCTCTATGACCTGCTGTGGGTGCTATGGGGTGCCGTGGGTGCTATGGGGTGCTATGGGGCTCTATGGGTGCCATAGGGCACTATGGGGCGCTTTGGGGCGCTGTGGGGCGCTGTGGGGTGCTATGGGTGCCATAGGGCACTATGGGGCGCTGTGGGGCGCTGTGGGGCTCTATGGGTGCCATAGGGCACTATGGGGCTCTATGAGCTGCTGTGGGTGCTATGGGGTGCCGTGGGTGCTATGGGGTGCTATGGGGCTCTATGGGTGCCATAGGGCACTATGGGGCGCTTTGGGGCGCTATGGGACGCTGTGGGGTGCTATGGGTGCCATAGGGCACTATGGGGCGCTATGGGGCGCTGTGGGGCGCTGTGGGGCTCTATGGGTGCCATAGGGCACTGTGGGGCTCTATGGGCTGCTGTGGGTGCTATGGGGTGCCGTGGGGCTCTATGGGTGCCATAGGGCACTATGGGGCTCTATGGGCTGCTGTGGGCGTGACAGGGTGCTATGGAGTGCAGTGGGTGCTATGGGGTGCTATGGGGCTCTATGGGTGCCATAGGGCACTATGGGGCGCTATGGGGCGCTGTGGGGCGCTGTGGGGTGCTATGGGTGCCATAGGGCACTATGGGGCGCTTTGGGGCGCTATGGGACGCTGTGGGGTGCTATGGGTGCCATAGGGCACTAGGGGGCTCTATGAGCTGCTGTGGGTGCTATGTGGTGCCGTGGGGCTCTATGGGTGCCATAGGGCACTATGGGGCGCTATGGGGCGCTGTGGGGCTCTATGGGTGCCATAGGGCACTACGGGGGCTCTATGGGCTGCTGTGGGCGTTACAGGGTGCTATGGAGTGCAGTGGGTGCTATGGGGTGCTATGGGGCTCGATGGGTGCCATAGGGCACTATGGGGCGCTATGGGGCGCTGTGGGGCGCTGTGGGGTGCTATGGGTGCCATAGGGCACTATGGGGCGCTGTGGGGCGCTGTGGGGCTCTATGGGTGCCATAGGGCACTGTGGGGCTCTATGAGCTGCTGTGGGTGCTATGGGGTGCCGTGGGTGCTATGGGGTGCTATGGGGCTCTATGGGTGCCATAGGGCACTATGGGGCGCTTTGGGGAGCTATGGGACGCTGTGGGGTGCTATGGGTGCCATAGGGCACTATGGGGCGCTATGGGGCGCTGTGGGGCGCTGTGGGGCTCTATGGGTGCCATAGGGCACTATGGGGCTCTATGGGCTGCTGTGGGTGCTATGGGGTGCCGTGGGGCTCTATGGGTGCCATAGGGCACTAGGGGGCTCTATGAGCTGCTGTGGGTGCTATGGGGCTCTATGGGTGCCATAGAGCACTAGGGGTCGCTGTGGGCGTTACGGGGCGCTATGGAGCGCAGTGGGTGCTATGGGGTGCTATGGGGCTCTATGGGTGCCATAGGGCACTATGGGGCGCTGTGGGTGCTATGGGGTGCTATGGGGCTCTATGGGTGCCATAGGGCACCATGGGCGCTATGGGCTGCTGTGCGTGCTATGGGGTGCTATGGGGCTCTATGGGTGCCACAGGGCACTGTGGGGTGCTATGGGGCGCTACGGGGCTCTATGGGTGCCATAGGGCACTACGGGGCTCTATGGGCTGCTGTGGGTGCTATGGGGTGCCGTGGGGCTCTATGGGTGCCATAGGGCACTGTGGGGCTCTATGGGCTGCTGTGGGTGCTATGGGGTGCCGTGGGGCTCTATGGGTGCCATAGGGCACTAGGGGGCTCTATGAGCTGCTGTGGGTGCTATGGGGTGCCGTGGGTGCTATGGGGTGCTATGGGGCTCTATGGGTGCCATAGGGCTCTATGGGGCGCTGTGGGTGTTATGGAGCGCTGTAGGTGCTATGGGGTGCTACGGGGCTCTATGGGTGCCATAGGGCACCATGGGCGCTATGGGGCACTATGGGGCACTATGGGGCACTATGGGGCGCTGTGGGGCTCTATGGGTGCCATAGGGCACTATGGGGCTCTATGGGCTGTTGTGGGTGCTATGGGTTGCCGTGGGGCTCTATGGGTGCCATAGGGCACTATGGGGCTCTATGGGCTGCTGTGGGTGCTATGGGTTGCCCTGGGGCTCTATGGGGCACTATGGGGCGCTGTGGGGCTCTATGGGTGCCATAGGGCACTATGGGGCTCTATGGGCTGCTGTGGGTGCTATGGGGTGCCGTGGGGCTCTATGGGTGCCATAGGGCACTATGGGGCGCTTTGGGGCGCTATGGGACGCTGTGGGGTGCTATGGGTGCCATAGGGCACTAGGGGGCTCTATGAGCTGCTGTGGGTGCTATGTGGTGCCGTGGGGCTCTATGGGTGCCATAGGGCACTATGGGGCGCTATGGGGCGCTGTGGGGCTCTATGGGTGCCATAGGGCACTACGGGGGCTCTATGGGCTGCTGTGGGCATTACAGGGTGCTATGGAGTGCAGTGGGTGCTATGGGGTGCTATGGGGCTCTATGGGTGCCATAGGGCACTATGGGGTGCTGTGGGTGCTATGGGGTGCTATGGGGCTCTATGGGTGCCATAGGGCACTATGGGGTGCTGTGGGTGCTATGGGGTGCTATGGGGCTCTATGGGTGCCATAGGGCACTAGGGGGCTCTATGAGCTGCTGTGGGCGCTATGGGTTGCTGTGGGGCTCTATGGGTGCCATAGGGCACTATGGGGCTCTATGGGCTGCTGTGGGTGCTATGGGTTGCCATGGGGCTCTATGGGGCACTATGGGGCGCTGTGGGGCTCTATGGGTGCCATAGGGCACTATGGGGCTCTATGGGCTGCTGTGGGTGCTATGGGTTGCCGTGGGGCTCTATGGGTGCCATAGGGCACTAGGGGGCTCTATGAGCTGCTGTGGGTGCTATGGGGCTCTATGGGTGCCATAGGGCACTATGGGGCGCTGTGGGCGTTACGGGGAGCTATGGAGCGCAGTGGGTGCTATGGGGCACTGTGGGGCTCTATGGGTGCCATAGGGCACTATGGGGCGCTTTGGGGAGCTATGGGACGCTGTGGGGTGCTATGGGTGCCATAGGGCACTATGGGGCGCTATGGGGTGCTGTGGGGCGCTGTGGGGCTCTATGGGCGCCATAGGGCACTATGGGGCTCTATGGGCTGCTGTGGGTGCTATGGGGTGCCGTGGGGCTCTATAGGTGCCATAGGGCACTAGGGGGCTCTATGAGCTGCTGTGGGTGCTATGGGGCTCTATGGGTGCCATAGGGCACTATGGGGCGCTGTGGGCGTTACGGGGAGCTATGGAGCGCAGTGGGTGCTATGGGGTGCTATGGGGCTCTATGGGTGCCATAGGGCACTATGGGGCGCTGTGGGTGTTATGGAGCGTTGTGGGTGCTATGGGGTGCTATGGGGCTCTACGGGTGCCATAGGACACTATGGGGCGCTTTGGGGCACTATGAGGCGCTGTGGGGTGCTATGGGTGCCGTAGGGCACTGTGGTTCACTATGGGGTGCTATGGGGCTCTATGGGCACCGTATGGCACTATGGGGCTCTATGGGCTGCTGTGGGAGCTATGGGGTGCTGTGGGTGCTATGGGTTGCTAGTGGCGCTATAGGCGCTATGGGGCGCTATGGAGCGCTGTAGGCGCTATAGGGTGCTATGAGGCACTATGGGGCGCTATAGGTACTATTTGGCTCTATGGGGCGCTCTGGAGCACTGTGGTCGCTATGGGGTGCTATGGGGTGCTATAGGGTGCTGTGGGGTGCTATGGGACTATGTGGGGCTATGAGGCGCTACGGAGTGCAGTGGTTGCTATGGGGTGCTACGTGGTGCTATGGGTCTCTATGGGCACTATGGGGTGCTATGGGGCTTCTATGGGCACTATAGGGGGGATATGGGGTGCTATAGGGCGGATGTAGGATGTTATGGGGGATTGGGGCTGCTATGGAGGGGGAATTGGGGGTGATGGATAGGTGCTAGGGAGGATTTAGGGGGATATGGGGCGCTATGGGGGGATTTTGGGGGCTCCCCAGTGCATTTTGGGTTGTCCCTATGGATTTTGGGTTATCCCTATGGATTTTGGCTCATCCCTATGGATTCTGGGTTATCCCTATGGATGTTGTGGTATCCCTATGGATTTGGGGATTATCCCTATGGATTTCAGGGGTTTCCCTAGAGATTCGGGGTATCCCTATGGGTTTTGTGGTAGCCCTATGGATTTCGGGGTATCCCGATGGATTTCGGGGTTTTCCCTATGGGTTTTGGGGGTATCCCTATGGATTTCAAGGTTTCCCTATGGATTTCAGGGTATCCCTATGGCGTTCAGGGTTTTCCCTATGGATTTTGGGGTATCCCTATGGATTTTGGGGTTTTCCCTATGGATTTTGGGGTTTCCCTGTGGTTTTTGAGGTTTCCCTTTGGATTTTGGGGTATCCCTATGGATTTCAGGGTTGTCCCTATAGATTCAGGATATTCCTATGGATTTCGGGGGTTTCCCTATAGATTCAGGATATTCCTATGGATTTTTGGGGTTTCCCTATGGATTTTGGGGGTATCCCTATGGATTTCAGGGTTGTCCCTATGGATTTGGGGGTTTTCCCTATGGATTTGGGGGTTTTCCCTATGGATTTTGGGGGTATCCCGATGGATTTCAGGGTTTTCCCTATGGATTTTGGGGGCATCCCTATGGATTTGGGGTTTTCCCTATGGATTTCAGGGTATCTCTATGGATTTCAGGGTTGTCCCTATGGATCTGGGGGTTTTCCCTATGGATTTTGGGGGTATCCCTATGGATTTGGGGGTTTTCCCTATAGATTTCAGGGTATCCCTATGTATTTCGGGCTTTTCCCTATGGATTTTGGGGGTATCCCTATGGATTTCGGGGTTTCCTCTGTGGATTTTGTGGTATCCCTATGGATTTCAAGGTTTCCCTATGGAATTCAGGGTTTTCCCTATGGATTTTGGGGGTATCCCTATGGATTTTGGGGTTTTCCCTATGGATTTGGGGGTTTCCCCTATGGGTTTTGAGGTTTCCCTATGGATTTGACGGGTATCCCTGTGGATTTTGGGGTTTTCCCTATGGATTTTGGGGTATCCCTATGGATTTTGGGGTTTTCCCTATGGATTTGAGGGGTATCCCTATGGGTTTTGAGGTTTCCCTATGGATTTGACGGGTATCCCTGTGGATTTTGGGGTTTTCCCTATGGATTTTGGGGTATCCCTATGGATTTTGGGGTTTTCCCTATGGATTTTGGGGTTTTCCCTATGGATTTGAGGGGTATCCCTATGGGTTTTGAGGTTTCCCTATGGATTTGACGGGTATCCCTGTGGATTTTGGGGTTTTCCCTATGGATTTTGGGGTATCCCTATGTATTTTGGGGTTTTCCCTATGGATTTTGGGGTTTTCCCTATGGATTTGAGGGGTATCCCTATGGATTTTTGAGGTTTCCCTATGGATTTTGGGGTTTTCCCTATAGATCTGGGGGTTTTCCCTATGGATCCATGGGTGCTGACCCCCACCTTTCCCCTTCGCCCCCCGTCCCCAAAGGGACGCCAAGGCCTGCGTGATCCACGGCACGGACCTGAAGGACATGAGCTCGGAGCAGATCGATGAGATCCTGCAGAACCACACCGAGATCGTCTTCGCACGCACGTCCCCGCAGCAGAAACTCATCATCGTCGAGGGCTGCCAGAGACAGGTGAGGGGGAACGTGAAACACACCAAAAACACACCAAAAACACCTAAAAACACCCAAAAACACCCAAAACACCCAAAAACACCCCAAAAACACCCCAAAACACCCCAAAACACCAAAAAACACCCCAAAAACACCCCAAAAACACCCCAAAACACAAAAAAACACCCCCAAAACACCGAAACACACACCGAAAACCACCCCCGAAAACACACCAAAACACCCAAAAACACACAAAAACCACCCCCAAAACACAAAAAAAAAACCCCAAAACACCCCAAAACTCCCGAAAACACCCCAAAACTCCCCAGAACACCCAAAACACGCCAAAACCACCCCGGAAACACCCCAAAACACCCCAAAACGCCCCCAAAAACACCCCAAAACACCCAAAACCACTCCAAAAACACCCCCAAAACACCCAAAAACAGACCAAAACCACCCGAAAACACCAAAAAAAAAACTAAAAACACCAAAAGAAACAAAAAACACCCCCAAAACACAAAAAAAACACCCCCAAAACACCAAAAAACACCCCCAAAACACCCAAAAAAACACCCCGAAAACACCCCCAAAACTCCCCAGAACACGCCAAAACACCCCAAAACCACTCCGAAAACAACCCCAAAACACCCCAAAACACCCAAAACCACCCCGAAAACACCCCAAAACAACCTAAAACACACCAAAACACCCCAAACCACACCGAAACACCCAAAAACGCCCCAAAACTCCCCAAAAGGACCCCAAGAACAGCCAAAACTAACCTCAAATGGACCAAAAACAAGCGAAAACACACCAAAAACAACCTAAAACACACCAAAACCACCAAAACCTCCCCAAACCACCCTAAAACACACCAAAGAAAACATAAAACACACCAAAACACCCAAACCCACCACAAAACGCCCCCAAAACACCCAAAAACACCCCCAAAAACCTAAAACACATCAAAAACAACCTAAAACACCCCAAAACCAACTGGAAACACCCCCAAAACAACTGAAAACCCTCCCAAATCACCCGAAAACACCTGAAAACACCCCAAAACAACGTAAAAAACACCAATCCAACCTAAAACTCACCCAAAACAACCTAAAACACCCCGAAACACCTCAAAGCACCCAAAAACATCTGAAAACACCCCAAAGCCAACCTAAAATGCACCAAAATACCCCAAAATGCAAAAAAAGACCCGAAAACACCCCAAAACCAACTTAGAACACAAAAAACAACCGAAAACATGCCAAAAACAACCTAAAACACCCCAAAAGGCCAAAAAAAAATCCCTCAAAACAAAACAGCAACCTAAAACATGCCAAACCCACCCAGAAACACCCCAAAACCACCCCAAAACCACCCCAAAACACCCAAAAACACCCAAAAAACACCAAAAAAACACCACAAAACACCCCCAAAACTCCCCAGAACACGCCAAAACACCCCAAAACCACTCCGAAAACAACCCCAAAACACCCCAAAACACCCGAAACCACCCCGAAAACACCCCCAAAACAACCTAAAACACACCAAAAACACCCCAAACCACACCGAAACACCCAAAAACGCCCCAAAACTCCCCAAAAGGACCCCGAGAACAGCCAAAACTAACCTAAAATGCACAAAAAACAAGCGAAAACACACCAAAAACAAGCGAAAACACACCAAAACCACCAAAACCTCCCCAAACCACCCTAAAACACACCAAATAAAACATAAAACACACCAAAACACCCAAACCCACCACAAAACGCCCCCAAAACACCCAAAAACACCCAAAAAAAACCTAAAACACACCAAAAACAACCTAAAACACCCCAAAAACAACTGGAAACACCCCCAAAACAACTGAAAACACCCCCAAACCACCCGTAAACACCCCAAAACAACCTAAAATACACCAAAAACAACCTAAAACACCCCAAAACCAACAGGAAACACCCCCAAAAAAACTTAAAACACCCCAAAATCACCCGAAAACACCCCAAAACACCCCAAAACAACGTAAAACTCACCCAAAACAACCTAAAACACCCCAAAACACCTCAAAGCCCCCAAACCATCTGAAAACACCCCAAAGCCAACCTAAAATGCACCAAAATACCCCAAAATGCAAAAAAAGACCCAGAAACACCCCAAAAACAACTTAGAACACCAAAAACAACCTAAAACATGCCAAAAACAACCTAAAACACCCCAAAAGGCCAAAAAAAAACCCCTCAAAACAAAACAACCTAAAACATGCCAAACCCACCCAGAAACACCCCAAAACCACCCCCAAAAAAAAACCTAACACCCCAAAAGCAACCTAAAGCGCACCAAAACCACACGAAAATAACCCTAAACCACCCGAAAACACCCCCAAAACAACCTAAAACACGCAAAAAACACACGAAAACAACTAAAAACAACTCTAAGCCATGCTTAAGCACCCCGAAACAGAAAAAAACACACCAAAACCACCCTGAAACACCCCAAAACCACCCTAAAACACCCCAAAACCACCCTGGAACACCCCAAAACCACCCTAAAACACCCTGAAACACCCCCAAACAACCTAAAACACCCCAAAACCACCCTGGAACGCCCCCAAACCAACCTAAAACACAGCAAAACCACCCAAAACCACCCCAAAAACAGCCTAAACCACAGCAGAAACTAAAAAAAAAAACCCTAAACCAACCTAAACCACCCTAAAACAATTTGAAAACACCCAAAACCAGCCGAAAACACCCCCAAAATTACCCCAAACCACCCCAAAACCACAAAAACCACCCAAAACTTACCCGAAAACACCCCAAAACCACAAAAAACACCCAAAACTTACCCGAAAACACCACAAAAACCACCCAAAACTTACCCGAAAACACCCCAAAACCACAAAAAACACCCAAAACTTACCCGAAAACACCCCAAAACCACAAAAAACACCCAAAACTTACCCGAAAACACCCCAAAACCACAAAAAACACCCAAAACTTACCCGAAAACACCCCAAAACCACAAAAAACACCCAAAACTTACCCGAAAACACCCCAAAACCACAAAAAACACCCAGAACTTACCCGAAAACACCCCAAAACCACAAAAAACACCCAAACCAGCCCGAAAACACCCCAAAACCACAAAAAACACCCAAAACTTACCCGAAAACACCCCAAATCCACAAAAACCACCCAAAACTTACCCGAAAACACCCCAAAATCACAAAAAACACCCAAAACTTACCCGAAGACACCCCAAAACCACAAAAAACACCCAAACCAGCCCGAAAACACCCCAAAACCACAAAAAACACCCAAAACTTACCCGAAAACACCCCAAATCCACAAAAACCACCCAAAACTTACCCGAAAACACCCCAAAATCACAAAAAACACCCAAAACTTACCCGAAGACACCCCAAAACCACAAAAAACACCCAAACCAGCCCGAAAACACACAAAACACGCTAAAATACCCCTAAAACACCCTAAAACACGCAAAACCACCCCAAAACCACAAAAAAGGCCTAAAACACCCCAAAACACAAAACCACCTTAAACCACCCCCAAACCCCATAGAACACAAGAAATCCACCAAAAAGCACCCCAAAACAACAAAAAAAAACACTAAAACACCGAAAAGCCGCAAAAAACACCCTGAAACACAAAACCACCCTAAAACACCCCAAAACCACCCAGAAAATACCATAAAACACCCCAAAAACCTCCAAACCCCCAAAACACACTAAAACACCCTCAACCCACAAAAGAACACCCTAAAAACACCTCAAAACACCCTCAAACACCCCAAAACATCCCCAAAAACACACAAAAAACACCCAAAAAAACCCCAAAACCAACAAAACACCCTAAAACACCCCAAATCACCCCCAAAATCAGACAAGAACCCCCGAAACCACCCCAAAACCACCAAGGAATGCCTAAAATCACCCCAAAAATGCCAAAACCACCTCAAACCACTGAGAAAAAAACAAGAAAACACCCCAAAATCACCCAAAACCCCCCGAAAACACCCCAAAACGCCGAATAACCACCCCAAAATCACCCAAAGCCCCCCAGGAACCCCCAAAACCAGCCCAAGCAGCGTCTCCGGAGGCCGTAGACGGGTCAAATATGACCCCAAACCACCCAAAAAACACCTAAAACCACCCCAAAAAAACACTTAAACCACCCCAAAACCACCCAAAACCACTTAAAACACCCCAAAACCACCCCAAAACCACCCCAAAACCACCTCAAAGACCCCTCCATCAAAACCAGCCCAAAGAGCATCTCCAGTGGCAACGGACAACACCAAATACAGCCCCCCAAAAAACCCAAATCCACCCCAAAACCACCCCAAATGGTCCCCACATCCCCATCACCATGGAGATGGTACCCAAGGTGCCACCACGATGAGGATGCTCCCCACATCCCCATCACCATGGAGATGGTACCCAAGGTGCCACCACGATGAGGATGCTCCCCATCACCATGGAGATGGTACCCAAGGTGCCACCACGATGGGGATGCTCCCCACATCCCCATCACCATGGAGATGGTACCCAAGGTGCCACCACAATGAGGATGCTCCCCACATCCCCATCACCATGGAGATGGTACCCAAGGTGCCACCACGATGAGGATGCTCCCCACATCCCCATCACCATGGAGATGGTACCCAAGATGCCACCACGATGAGGATGCTCCCCACATCCCCATCACCATGGAGATGGTACCCAAGGTGCCACCACGATGAGGATGCTCCCCACATCCCCATCACCATGGAGATGGTACCCAAGGTACAACCACGATGAGGATGCTCCCCATCACCATGGAGATGGTACCCAAGGTGCCACCACGATGAGGATGCTCCCCACATCCCCATCACCATGGAGATGGTACCCAAGGTGCCACCACAATGGGGATGCTCCCCACATCCCCATCACCATGGAGATGGTACCCAAGGTGCCACCACAATGAGGATGCTCCCCAAATCCCCATCACCATGGAGATGGTACCCAAGGTGCCACCACGATGCGGATGCTCCACATCACCATGGAGATGGAGATGGTACCCAAGGTGCCACCACGATGAGGATGCTCCCCACATCCCCATCACCATGGAGATGGTACCCAAGGTGCCACCACAATGAGGATGCTCCACATCACCATGGAGATGGAGATGGTACCCAAGGTGCCACCATGATGAGGATGCTCCCCACATCCCCATCACCATGGAGATGGTACCCAAGGTACCACCACAATGGGGATGCTCCCCACATCCCCATCACCATGGAGATGGTACCCAAGGTGCCACCACGATGAGGATGCTCCCCACATCCCCATCACCATGGAGATGGTACCCAAGGTGCCACCACAATGGGGATGCTCCCCACATCCCCATCACCATGGAGATGGTACCCAAGGTGCCACCACAATGAGGATGCTCCCCAAATCCCCATCACCATGGAGATGGTACCCAAGGTGCCACCACGATGCGGATGCTCCACATCACCATGGAGATGGAGATGGTACCCAAGGTGCCACCACGATGAGGATGCTCCCCACATCCCCATCACCATGGAGATGGTACCCAAGTTGCCACCACAATGGGGATGCTCCCCACATCCCCATCACCATGGAGATGGTACCCAAGGTGCCACCACGATGAGGATGCTCCCCACATCCCCATCACCATGGAGATGGTACCCAAGGTACCACCACGATGAGGATGCTCCCCACATCCCCATCACCATGGAGATGGTACCCAAGGTGCCACCACAATGGGGATGCTCCCCACATCCCCATCACCATGGAGATGGTACCCAAGGTGCCACCACGATGAGGATGCTCCCCACATCCCCATCACCATGGAGATGGTACCCAAGGTGCCACCACGATGAGGATGCTCCCCAAATCCCCATCACCATGGAGATGGTACCCAAGGTGCCACCACGATGAGGATGCTCCCCATCACCATGGAGATGGTACCCAAGGTGCCACCACGATGAGGATGCTCCCCATCACCATGGAGATGGTACCCAAGGTGCCACCACGATGAGGATGCTCCCCATCACCATGGAGATGGTACCCAAGGTGCCACCACGATGGGGATGCTCCCCACATCCCCATCACCATGGAGATGGTACCCAAGGTGCCACCACGATGAGGATGCTCCCCACATCCCCATCACCATGGAGATGGTACCCAAGGTGCCACCACGATGGGGATGCTCCCCACATCCCCATCACCATGGAGATGGTACCCAAGGTGCCACCACGATGAGGATGCTCCCCATCACCATGGAGATGGTACCCAAGGTGCCACCACAATGAGGATGCTCCCCACATCCCCATCACCATGGAGATGGTACCCAAGGTGCCACCACGATGAGGATGCTCCCCATCACCATGGAGATGGTACCCAAGGTGCCACCACAATGAGGATGCTCCCCACATCCCCATCACCATGGAGATGGTACCCAAGGTGCCACCACGATGCGGATGCTCCACATCACCATGGAGATGGAGATGGTACCCAAGGTGCCACCACGATGAGGATGCTCCCCACATCCCCATCACCATGGAGATGGTACCCAAGGTGCCACCACGATGAGGATGCTCCCCACATCCCCATCACCATGGAGATGGAACCCAAGGTGCCACCACAATGGGGATGCTCCCCACATCCCCATCACCATGGAGATGGTACCCAAGGTGCCACCACGATGAGGATGCTCCCCACATCCCCATCACCATGGAGATGGTACCCAAGGTGCCACCACGATGAGGATGCTCCCCATCACCATGGAGATGGTACTAAGGTGCCACCACGATGAGGATGCTCCCCATCACCATGGAGATGGTACCCAAGGGTGCCACCACGATGAGGATGCTCCCCACATCCCCATCACCATGGAGATGGTACCCAAGGTGCCACCACGATGAGGATGCTCCCCACATCCCCATCACCATGGAGATGGTACCCAAGGTGCCACCACGATGAGGATGCTCCCCACATCCCCTCACCATGGAGATGGTACCCAAGGTGCCACCACGATGGGGATGCTCCCCACATCCCCATCACCATGGAGATGGTACCCAAGGTACCACCACGATGAGGATGCTCCCCACATCCCCATCACCATGGAGATGGTACCCAAGGTGCCACCACGATGAGGATGCTCCCCATCACCATGGAGATGGTACCCAAGGTGCCACCACGATGAGGATGCTCCCCACATCCCCATCACCATGGAGATGGTACCCAAGGTACCACCACGATGAGGATGCTCCCCACATCCCCATCACCATGGAGATGGTACCCAAGGTACCACCACAATGAGGATGCTCCCCACATCCCCATCACCATGGAGATGGTACCCAAGGGTACCACCACAATGAGGATGCTCCCCACATCCCCATCACCATGGAGATGGTACCCAAGGTGCCACCACGATGAGGATGCTCCCCACATCCCCATCACCATGGAGATGGTACCCAAGGTACCACACGATGAGGATGCTCCCCACATCCCCATCACCATGGAGATGGTACCCAAGGTGCCACCACGATGAGGATGCTCCCCACATCCCCATCACCATGGAGATGGTACCCAAGGTACCACCACGATGAGGATGCTCCCCACATCCCCATCACCATGGAGATGGTACCCAAGGTACCACCACAATGGGGATGCTCCCCACATCCCCATCACCATGGAGATGGTACCCAAGGTGCCACCACAATGGGGATGCTCCCCACATCCCCATCACCATGGAGATGGTACCCAAGGTGCCACCACAATGAGGATGCTCCCCACATCCCCATCACCATGGAGATGGTACCCAAGGTACCACCACAATGAGGATGCTCCCCACATCCCCATCACCATGGAGATGGTACCCAAGGTGCCACCACAATGAGGATGCTCCCCACATCCCCATCACCATGGAGATGGTACCCAAGATGCCACCATGATGAGGATGCTCCCCACATCCCCATCACCATGGAGATGGTACCCAAGATGCCACCACGATGAGGATGCTCCCCACATCCCCATCACCATGGAGATGGTACCCAAGGTGCCACCACGATGAGGATGCTCCCCACTCCCCCCATAACCCCCACATCCCCGTCCCCCCCCCTAGGGCGCCATCGTGGCGGTGACGGGCGACGGCGTCAACGACTCGCCGGCGTTGAAGAAGGCCGACATCGGCGTGGCCATGGGCATCGCCGGCTCCGACGTCTCCAAGCAAGCGGCCGACATGATCCTATTGGACGACAACTTCGCCTCCATCGTCACCGGCGTGGAGGAAGGTCCGTGTGGGACCCATAGGGGCATCGCTATGGGGAGAAGGGAATAAAGAGGGGGGGGGGGGATGGATACATACACCCCAATGGTGACCATCCCCGTGTCTTCAGGCCGCCTGATCTTTGACAACCTCAAGAAGTCCATTGCCTACACCTTGACCAGCAACATCCCCGAGATCACCCCCTTCCTCCTCTTCATCATGGCCAACATCCCCCTGCCCCTGGGGACCATCACCATCCTCTGCATCGACCTGGGCACCGACATGGTGAGGTTGGGGGGGGACGGGGGGGAAACCCCACTTTTAGGAGCACCCCAAAAGCTTTGGGGACCCCAAAGTTTCTCCCTATGGGGCCCAGAAACTCCAAATCCCCCATGGTGGGACCCCCAAGAACCTCCCTATAGGGATGCTATGGAGGGCAATAGGGTGCAAACGGGATGCAGTGGGGCACCATGGGATGCTATGGGGACACCACGACCCACATAAAGGGGGGAACCCTTTTAGGAGCACCCCCAAAGCTTTGGGGACCCCCAAGATCACCCCTATGAGTGATGCTATAGGGCAATATGGGGTGCTATGGAGGGCAATAGGGTGCAAATGGGATGCAGTGGGGTACCATGGGATGCTATGGGGACACCACGACCCACATAAAGGGGGGACCCCCTTTTAGGAGCACCCCCAAAGCTCTGGGGACCCCAAAGTTCCTCCCTATGGGGCCCAGAAACTCCAAATCCCCCATGGTGGGACCCCCAAGAACCTCCCTATAGGGATGCTATGGAAGGCTATAGGGTGCAAATGGGATGCAGTGGGGCACCATGGGATGCTATGGGGATACCACGACCCACATAAAGGGGGGGAACCCTTTTAGGAGCACCCCCAAAGCTTTGGGGACCCTCAAGATCACCCCTATGAGTGATGCTATAGGGCAATATGGGGTGCTATGGAGGGCAATAGGGTGCACATGGGATGCAGTGGGGCACCATGGGATGCTATGGGGACACCACGACCCACATAAAGGGGGGGACCCCCTTTTAGGAGCACCCCCAAAGCTTTGGGGACCCCCAAAGTTCCTCCCTATGGGGCCCAGGACCTCCAAATCCCCCATGGTGGGACCCCCAAGAACCTCCCTATAGGGATGCTATGGAGGGCAATAGGGTGCACATGGGATGCAGTGGGGCACCATGGGATGCTATGGGGACACCACGACCCACATAAAGGGGGGGACCCCCTTTTAGGAGCACCCCCAAAGCTTTGGGGACCCCCAAAGTTCCTCCCTATGGGGCCCAGGACCTCCAAATCCCCCATGGTGGGACCCCCAAGAACCTCCCTATAGGGATGCTATGGAAGGCTATAGGGTGCAAATGGGATGCAGTGGGGTACCATGGGATGCTATGGGGACACCACGCCCCACATAAAGGGGGGGACCCCTCTTAGGAGCACCCCCAAAGCTTTGGGGACCCCCAAAGTTCCTCCCTATGGGGCCCAGAAACTCCCAAACCCCCATGGTGGGACCCCCAAGAACCTCCCTATAGGGATGCTATGGAAGGCTATAGGGTGCAAATGGGATGCAGTGGGGTACCATGGGATGCTATGGGGACACCACGACCCACATAAAGGGGGGGAACCCCTTTTAGGAGCACCCCAAAAGCTTTGGGGACCCCAAAGGTTCTCCCTATGGGCCCAGGACCTCCAAATCCCCCATGGTGGGACCCCCAAGAACCTCCCTATAGGGATGCTATGGAAGGTGATGGGGTGCAAATGGGATGCAGTGGGGCACCATGGGATGCTATGGGGACACCACGACCCACATAAAGGGGGGACCCCTCTTAGGAGCACCCCCAAAGCTTTGGGGACCCCCAAGATCCCCCTATGAGTGATGCTATAGGGCAATATGGGGTGCTATGGAGGGCTATAGGGTGCACATGGGATGCAGTGGGGTACCATGGGATGCTATGGGGACACCACAACCCACATAAAGGGGGGACCCCCTTTTAGGAGCACCCCCAAAGCTTTGGGGACCCCAAAGTTCCTCCCTATGGGGCCCAGAAACTCCCAATCCCCCATGGTGGGACCCCCAAGAACCTCCCTATAGGGATGCTATGGAAGGCTATAGGGTGCAAATGGGATGCAGTGGGGTACCATGGGATGCTATGGGGACACCACGACCCACATAAAGGGGGGAAACCCCTTTTAGGAGCACCCCCAAAGCTTTGGGGACCCCCAGATCCCCCTATGAGTGATGCTATAGGGCAATATGGGGTGCTATGGAGGGCAATAGGGTGCAAATGGGACGCAGTGGGGTACCATGGGATGCTATGGGGATGCTATGGGGACACCACGACCCACATAAAGGGGGGGGGAACCCCTTTTAGGAGCACCCCCAAACCTTGGGGACCCCCCTAGGGGTGCCCATGTGGGGTGCCCCCCACATTGTGTCGTGTCCCCGTCCCCCCCCCCCCCCCCCAGGTCCCTGCTATCTCATTGGCTTATGAGGCAGCCGAAAGCGATATCATGAAGCGGCAGCCCCGGAACCCCCGCTCGGACAAGCTGGTGAATGAACGGCTCATCAGCATGGCCTACGGGCAGATCGGTGAGCTATCGCGATAGTGGGAGGGGCCGCGGAGGAGTGGGGGGGCGAGATGTCGCGGTATAGGGGGCGATACGGGGGAGAAAGGGTGCGATATGGGGGAGAAAGGGTGCGATATGGGGGAGAAAGGGTGCGATATGGGGGGGGAAGTGAGATATCGGGATATAGGAGGCGATATGGGGGAGAAAGGGTGCGATATGGGGGAGAAAGGGTGCGATATGGGGGAGAAAGGGTGCGATATGGGGGGGGAAGTGAGATATCGGGATATAGGAGGCGATATGGGGGAGAAAGGGTGCGATATGGGGAGGGGGAAGTGAGATATCGGGATATAGGAGGCGATATGGGGGAGAAAGGGTGCGATATGGGGGAGAAAGGGTGCGATATGGGGAGGGGGAAGTGAGATATCGGGATATAGGAGGCGATATGGGGGAGAAAGGGTGCGATATGGGGGAGAAAGGGTGCGATATGGGGAGGGGGAGTGAGATATCGGGATATAGGAGGCGATATGGGGGAGAAAGGGTGTGATATGGGGGGGGAAGTGAGATATCGGGATATAGGAGGCGATATGGGGGAGAAAGGGTGCGATATGGGGGAGAAAGGGTGCGATATGGGGAGGGGAAGTGAGATATCGGGATATAGGAGGCGATATGGGGGAGAAAGGGTGCGATATGGGGGAGAAGGGTGCGATATGGGGAGGGGGAAGCGAGATATCGGGGTATAGGAGGCGATATGGGGCAGAAAGGGTGCGATATGGGGGGGGAAGTGAGATATCGGGATATAGGAGGCGATATGGGGCAGAAAGGGTGCGATATGGGGGGGGGAAGTGAGATATCGGGATATAGGAGGCAATATCGGGGTTGAGATATGGGGGGAAGGTTGCAATATGGGGGTTCAGAGGTGCAATAAGGGGGGGAAGCGAGATATCGGGACATAGCAGGCGGTATCGTGATATAGGAGGCGATATGGGGGAAGGGGTGTGATATGGAGGGGAGCAAGATATGGGGATATAGGAAGAGATATAGGGGTTCAGGGGTGTGATATGAGGGGGGAGTGGTGCGATATCGGGATATAGGAGGTGATATCAGGATATAGGAGGCGATATAAGGGTTCAGGGGTGCGATATGGGGGTTCAGGGGTGCGATATGGGGGTTCAGGGGTGCGATATAGGGCTTGAGGTGTACGATATGGGGGTTCAGGGGTGCGATATAGGGGTTCAGGGGTGCGATATGGGGGTTCAGGGCCGCGATATGGGGGTTCAGGGGTGCGATATAGGGGTTCAGGGGTGCGATATGGGGGTTCAGGGGTGCGATATGGGGTTCAGGGGTGCGATATGGGGATTCAGGGGTGCGATATAGGGCTTGAGGTCTTCGATATGGGGGTTCAGGGGTGCGATATGGGGGTTCAGGCCCGCGATATGGGGGTTCAGGGGTGCGATATAGGGGTTCAGGCCCGCGATATGGGGGTTCAGGCCCGCAATATGGGGGTTCAGGGGTGCGATATGGGGGTTCAGAGCCGCGATATGGGGGTTCAGGGGTGCGATATGGGGGTTCAGACCCGCGATATGGGGGTTCAGGCCGCGATATGGGGGTTCAGGGCCGCGATATGGGGTTCAGGGGTGCGATATGGGGGTTCAGACCCGCGATATGGGGGTTCAGGCCCGCGATATGGGGGTTCAGGGCCGCGATATGGGGGTTCAGGGGTGCGATATAGGGGTTCAGGGCCGCGATATGGGGGTTCAGTGCCGCGATATGGGGGTTCAGGGGTGCGATATGGGGGTTCAGTGCCGCGATATGGGGGTTCAGACCCACGATATGGGGGTTCAGTGCCGCGATATGGGGGTTCAGTGCCGCGATATGGGGGTTCAGGGGTGCGATATGGGGGTTCAGGGCCGTGATATGGGGGTTCAGGCCCGCGATATGGGGGTTCAGTGCCGCGATATGGGGGTTCAGGGCCGCGATATGGGGGTTCAGACCCACGATATGGGGGTTCAGTGCCGCGATATGGGGGTTCAGGGGTGCGATATGGGGGTTCAGGGGTGCGATATGGGGGTTCAGGGGTGCGATATAGGGGTTCAGGGCCGCGATATGGGGTTCAGAGCCGCGATATGGGGGTTCAGAGCAGCGATATGGGGGTTCAGGGGTGCGATATGGGGGTTCAGTGCCGCGATATGGGGGTTCAGACCCGCGATATGGGGGTTCAGGGCCGCGATATGGGGGTTCAGACCCGCGATATGGGGGTTCAGGCCCGCCATAGGGTCCTGAAGTAACGGGGCAACCCCAAAAGATGAAGGAGAGACCCCAATATCCCAGGGAAGGAGCAGCATCCTGCATCCCTGAGCATCCCATGGGGTCGCTATGGGGGATATGTGGGTCCTGTGGGTCGGGGGGGAGCCTGAGCCCCACTTTTCGCCCCACATTCCCTAGGGATGATCCAGGCACTTGGGGGGTTCTTCGCCTACTTCGTGATCCTGGCGGAAAACGGGTTCCTTCCCTCCCGCCTCGTCGGGATCCGCCTGCGCTGGGACGACCGCACCGTCAACGACCTGGAGGACTCCTACGGGCAGCAGTGGGTCAGTGCCCCATAGCGCGCCCCATAGCGCGCCGCATAGCATGCCCTATTACAGCGCCCCATAGAGCACTATTCAGCGTAGAGCGATCCGGAGTGTCACCGCAGCGCCCCATTGCCCTCCATTGAGCCCTGTAGTGCCCTATAGCACGTAGAGCACCCCATAGTGTCACCACAGTGCCCCATAGTGCCCCATAGCGCCCCATAGCGCGCCCCATAGCGAGCCCGATCAGAGCGCCCCATAGAGAACTATTCACCGTAGAGCGTTCCATAGTGTCACCACAGTGCCCCATTGCCCTCCATTGAGCCCTGTAGTGCCCTATAGCACGTAGAGTGCCCCATAGTGCCCCATAGCGCGCCCCATAGCATGCCCTATTACAGCGCCCCATAGAGCACTATTCAGCGTAGAGCGATCCGGAGTGTCACCGCAGCGCCCCATTGCCCTCCATTGCGCCCCATAGTGCCCTATAGCACGTAGAGTGCCCCATAGTGTCACCACAGTGCCCCATAGTGCCCTATAGCGCCCCATAGCGCGCCCCATAGCATGCCCTATTACAGCGCCCCATAGAGCACTATTCACCGTAGAGTGCTCCGTAGTGTCACCACAGTGCCCCATTGCCCTCCATTGCACTCCGTAGTGCCCTATAGCATGTAGAGCACCCCATAGTGTCACCACAGTGCCCCATAGTGCCCCATAGCGCCCCATAGCGCGCCCCATAGCATGCCCTATTACAGCGCCCCATAGAGCACTATTCAGCGTAGAGCGTTCCACAGTGTCAACACAGTGCCCCATTGCCCTCCATTGAGCCCTGTAGTGCCCTATAGCACGTAGAGCACCCCATAGTGTCACCACAGTGCCCCATAGTGCCCCATAGCGCCCCATAGCGCGCCCCATAGCGAGCCCGATCAGAGCGCCCCATAGAGAACTATTCACCGTAGAGCGTTCCATAGTGTCACCACAGCGCCCCATTGCCCTCCATTGAGCCCTGTAGTGCCCTATAGCACGTAGAGTGCCCCATAGTGCCCCATAGCGCGCCCCATAGCATGCCCTATTACAGCGCCCCATAGAGCACTATTCAGCGTAGAGCGATCCGGAGCGTCACCACAGTGCCCCATTGCCCTCCATTGAGCCCTGTAGTGCCCTATAGCACGTAGAGTGCCCCATAGTGCCCCATAGCGCGCCCCATAGCATGCCCTATTACAGCGCCCCATAGAGCACTATTCACCGTAGAATGCTCCGTAGTGTCACCACAGTGCCCCATTGCCCTCCATTGCACTCCGTAGTGCCCTATAGCACGTAGAGCACCCCATAGTGTCACCACAGTGCCCCATAGTGCCCCATAGCGCCCCATAGCGCGCCCCATAGCGAGCCCGATCAGAGCGCCCCATAGAGAACTATTCACCGTAGAGCGTTCCATAGTGTCACCACAGTGCCCCATTGCCCTTCATTGCACCCGTTGTGCCCTATAGCACGTAGAGTGCCCCATAGTGCCCCATAGCGCGCCCCATAGCATGCCCTATTACAGCGCCCCATAGAGCACTATTCAGCGTAGAGCGATCCGGAGCGTCACCGCAGCGCCCCATTGCCCTCTATTGAGCCCCGTAGTGCCCTATAGCACGTAGAGCACCCCATAGTGTCACCACAGTGCCCCATAGTGCCCCATAGCGCCCCATAGCGCGCCCCATAGCGAGCCCGATCAGAGCGCCCCATAGAGAACTATTCACCGTAGAGCGTTCCATAGTGTCACCACAGTGCCCCATTGCCCTCCATTGCACTCCGTAGTGCCCTATAGCACGTAGAGTGCCCCATAGTGCCCCATAGCGCGCCCCATAGCATGCCCTATTACAGCGCCCCATAGAGCACTATTCAGCGTAGAGTGCTCCGTAGTGTCACCACAGTGCCCCATTGCCCTCCATTGAGCCCTGTAGTGCCCTATAGCACATAGAGTGCCCCATAGTGCCCCATAGCGCGCCCCATAGCATGCCCTATTACAGCGCCCCATAGAGCACTATTCAGCGTAGAGCGATCCGGAGTGTCACCACAGTGCCCCATTGCCCTCCATTGAGCCCTGTAGTGCCCTATAGCACGTAGAGTGCCCCATAGTGCCCCATAGCACGCCCCATAGCGCGCCCCATAGCACGCCCCATAGCATGCCCTATTACAGCGCCCCATAGAGCACTATTCAGCGTAGAGCGATCCGGAGCGTCACCACAGCGCCCCATTGCCCTCCATTGCACCCCGTAGTGCCCTATAGCACGTAGAGTGCCCCATAGTGTCACCACGGTGCCCCACAGCGCCCCATAGCGCGCCCCATAGAGAGCGTGATCAGAGCACCCCATAGAGCACTATTCAGCATAGAGCGCTCCATAGTGTCACCATAGCGCCCCATAGCGTTCAATAGTGCCCCGTAGTGCCCTATAGCACGTAGAGTGCCCCATAGCGTCACCAGTGCCCCATAGCGCGCCCCATAGCGAGCCCGATCAGAGCGCCCCATAGAGCACTATTCACCGTAGAGCGTTCCACAGTGTCACCACAGCGCCCCATTGCCCTCCATTGCGCCCCATAGTGCCCTATAGCACATGGAGCACCCCATAGTGTCACCACAGCGCCCCATAGCGCGCCCCATAGCACGCCCTATTAGAGCGCCCCATAGAACCCTATTCCCCATAGAGCCCCCATAGTGTCACCACAGCGCCCCATAGCGTTCAATAGTGCCCCATTGCGCCCCATAGTGCCCTATAGCATCCCCATAGCACCCATTGCACCCGATAGCGTTCCATCGTGCCCCATTGAGTCCCATTGCCCTCCATTGCGCCCCATAGCATCCCCATTGAGGCAGAGCACAGCCTGAGGGGCTGAGCACCCCACAGACCCCATAGAAGCCCCCATAGCACCCCCTTTGCCCCCTATAGCACCCCATAGAATCCACACTGTAGCAGTGGGGCAGTCAGGGAGGGCTCAGCACCCCATAACACCCCATTGTATCTCCATAGCAACCTCATCGCACCCCATAGCACCCCATAGAACCCTATAGCACCCCATTGCCCCCTATAGCACCCCATTGCCCTATAGCATTCCATAGCACCCCATTGCACCACATAGCACCCCTATTACCCTATTGCACCCCATAGCACCCTATTGCCCTATAGCATCCCATAGCACCCCATTGCACCCCATAGCACCCCTATTACACTATAGCATTCCATAGCACCCCATTGCACCCCATAGCACCCCTATTACCCTATAGCATTCCATAGCACCCCATTGCACCCCATAGCACCCCATTGCACCCCATAGCACCCTATTGCCCTACAGCATACCACAGCACCCCATTGCACCCCATAGCACCCCATTGCACACCATAGCACCCCTATTACCCTATAGCATTCCATAGCACCCATTGCACCCCATAGCACCCCTATTGGCCTTATAGCATTCCATAGCACCCCATTGCACCCCATAGCACCCCATTGCACACCATAGCACCCCTATTACCCTATAGCATTCCATAGCACCCCATTGCACCCCATAGCACCCTATTGCCCTATAGCATTCCATAGCACCCCATTGCACCCCATAGCACCCTATTGCCCTATAGCATTCCACAGCACCCCATTGCACCACATAGCACCCATATTACCCTATTGCACCCCATAGCACCCTATTGCCCTATAACATTCCATAGCACCCCATTGCACCCCATAGCACCCCTATTACCCTGTAGCATTCCATAGCACCCCATTGCACCCCATAGCACCCCTATTACCCTATAGCATTCCATAGCACCCCATTGCACCCCATAGCACCCAATTGCCCTAGAGCATTCCATAGCACCCCATTGCACCCCATAGCACCCCATTGCACCCCATAGCACCCTATTGCCCTACAGCATACCACAGCACCCCATTGCACCCCATAGCACCCCTATTGCCCTATAGCATTCCATAGCACCCCATTGCACCCCATAGCACCCCATTACCCCATTGCACCCCATAGCACCCCATTGCACCCCATAGCACCCCATTGCACCCCACAGCACCCATTGCAGCAGTGCACCCCATAGCACCCCACTACCCATAATGGTATCTCAGCCCCCCATTCCCCCCCCCTTATAGCAACCCTTACCCTATACACCCCAATAGAGGGACACCCTATAGGGGGGTGTTTTTGGGGTGCCTCTGACGTCATTTCCGGGGTGTCCCCCCCCCCACCCCAGACCTATGAGCAGCGCAAGGTGGTGGAGTTCACGTGCCACACGGCTTTCTTCGTCAGCATCGTGGTGGTGCAATGGGCAGACCTCATCATCTGCAGACCCGGCGCAACTCCGTCTTCCAGCAGGGCATGAAGTAAGGGGGGGACCCCCAAAATTCGAGGGGGGACCCCCAAAATTCGAGGGGACCCCCAAAAATTCAAGGGGACCCCAAAAAGTTTGGGGGGGGAGGGAAAAAACCCGAGGGAAATAGCATCCTGTATCCCTGAGCATCCTATGGGGTGGTGGTACCCAAGGAGGGAGCGGCATCCTGCATCCCTGAGCATCCTATGGGGTGGTGGTACCCAAGGAGAGAGCAGCATCCTGTGCCCCATAGCATCCTATGGGGTTGTGGTACCCAAGGGGGGAGCGGCATCCTGCATCCCTGAGCATCCTATGGGGTGGTGGTACCCAAGGAGAGAGCAGCATCCTGTGCCCCATAGCATCCTATGGGGTTGTGGTACCCAAGGAGGAAGCGGCATCCTGTGCCCCATAGCATCCTATGGGGTTGTGGTACCCAAGGAGAGAGCAGCATCCTGTGCCCCATAGCATCCTAGGGGGTTGTGGTACCCAAGGAAAGAGCAGCATCCTGTGCCCCATAGCATCCTATGGGGTGGTGGTACCCAAGGAGGGAGCAGCATCCTGTGCCCCATAGCATCCTATGGGGTTGTGGTACCCTAGGAAGGAGCAGCATCCTGTGCCCCATAGCATCCTATGGGGTGGTGGTACCCAAGGAGAGAGCAGCATCCTCTGCCCCATAGCATCCTATGGGGTGGTGGTACCCAAGGGGGAAGCAGCATCCTGTGCCCCATAGCATCCTATGGGGTGGTGGTACCCAAGGAGAGAGCAGCATCCTGCATCCCAGAGCATCCTATGGGGTTGTGGTACCCAAGGAGGGAGCGGCATCCTGTGCCCCATAGCATCCTATGGGGTTGTGGTACCCAAGGAGGGAGCAGCATCCTGTGCCCCATAGCATCCTATGGGGTGGTGGTACCCAAGGAAAGAGCAGCATCCTGTGCCCCATAGCATCCTATGGGGTTGTGGTACCCAAGATAGGAGCGGCATCCTGTGCCCCATAACATCCTATGGGGTTGTGGTACCCAAGGGGGAAGCAGCATCCTGTGCCCCATAGCATCCTATGGGGTGGTGGTACCCAAGGGGGACGCAGCATCCTGTGCCCCATAGCATCCTATGGGGTGGTGGTACCCAAGGAGAGAGCAGCATCCTCTGCCCCATAGCATCCTATGGGGTGGTGGTACCCAAGGAGAGAGCAGCATCCTGTGCCCCATAGCATCCTATGGGGTTGTGGTACCCAAGGGGGAAGCAGCATCCTGTGCCCCATAGCATCTTTATGGGGTTGTGGTACCCAAGGGGGAGCGGCATCCTGCATCTCTGAGCATCCTATGGGGTGGTGGTACCCAAGGGAGGGAGCAGCATCCTGTCCCCATAGCATCCTATGGGGTGGTGGTACCCAAGGAGGGAGCAGCATCCTGTGCCCCATAGCATCCTATGGGGTTGTGGTACCCAAGGAGGGAGCAGCATCCTGTGCCCCATAGCATCCTATGGGGTGGTGGTACCCAAGGGGGAAGCAGCATCCTGTGCCCCATAGGATCCTATGGGGTTGTGGTACCCAAGGAGAGAGCAGCATCCTGTGCCCCATAGCATCCTATGGGGTGGTGGTACCCACGGAAGGAGCAGCATCCTGTGCCCCATAGCATCCTATGGGGTTGTGGTACCCAAAAGAGGGAGCAGCATCCTGTGCCCCATAGCATCCTATGGGGTTGTGGTACCCAAGGAGAGAGCAGCATCCTGTGCCCCATAGCATCCTATGGGGTTGTGGTACCCAAGGAGAGAGCAGCATCCTGTGCCCCATAGCATCCTATGGGGTTGTGGTACCCAAGGAAAGAGCGGCATCCTGTGCCCCATAGCATCCTATGGGGTGGTGGTACCCAAGGAGGGAGCAGCATCCTGTGCCCCATAGCATCCTATGGGGTTGTGGTACCCTAGGAAGGAGCAGCATCCTGTGCCCCATAGCATCCTATGGGGTGGTGGTACCCAAGGAGAGAGCAGCATCCTCTGCCCCATAGCATCCTATGGGGTGGTGGTACCCAAGGGGGAAGCAGCATCCTGTGCCCCATAGCATCCTATGGGGTGGTGGTACCCAAGGAAAGAGCAGCATCCTGTGCCCCATAGCATCCTATGGGGTTGTGGTACCCAAGGAAAGAGCAGCATCCTGTGCCCCATAGCATCCTATGGGGTTGTGGTACCCAAGGAGGGAGCAGCATCCTGTGCCCCATAGCATCCTATGGGGTGGTGGTACCCAAGGAAAGAGCAGCATCCTGTGCCCCATAGGATCCTATGGGGTTGTGGTACCCAAGATAGGAGCGGCATCCTGTGCCCCATAACATCCTATGGGGTGGTGGTACCCAAGGGGGAAGCAGCATCCTGTGCCCCATAGCATCCTATGGGGTGGTGGTACCCAAGGGGGACGCAGCATCCTGTGCCCCATAGCATACTATGGGGTGGTGGTACCCAAGGAGAGAGCAGCATCCTGTGCCCCATAGCATCCTATGGGGTTGTGGTACCCAAGGGGGAAGCAGCATCCTGTGCCCCATAGCATCCTATGGGGTTGTGGTACCCAAGGGGGGAGCGGCATCCTGCATCTCTGAGCATCCTATGGGGTTGTGGTACCCAAGGGGGGAGCAGCATCCTGTGCCCCATAGCATCCTATGGGGTGGTGGTACCCAAGGGGGAAGCAGCATCCTGCGCCCCATAGCATCCTATGGGGTTGTGGTACCCAAGGAGAGAGCAGCATCCTGTGCCCCATAGCATCCTATGGGGTTGTGGTACCCAAGGAGGGGAGCAGCATCCTGTGCCCCATAGGATCCTATGGGGTGGTGGCACCCAAGGAGGGAGCAGCATCCTGTGCCCCATAGCATCCTATGGGGTTGTGGTACCCAAGGGGGGAGCAGCATCCTGTGCCCCATAGCATCCTATGGGGTTGTGGTACCCAAGGAGAGAGCAGCATCCTGTGCCCCATAGCATCCTATGGGGTGGTGGTACCCAAGGAGGGAGCAGCATCCTCTGCCCCATAGCATCCTATGGGGTTGTGGTAACCAAGGAGAGAGCAGCATCCTGTGCGCCATAGGATCCTATGGGGTGGTGGTACCCAAGGAAGGAGCAGCATCCTGTGCCCCATAGGATCCTATGGGGTTGTGGTACCCAAGGAGGGAGCAGCATCCTCTGCCCCATAGCATCCTATGGGGTGGTGGTACCCAAGGAGAGAGCAGCATCCTGTGCCCCATAGGATCCTATGGGGTGGTGGTACCCAAGGAAGGAGCAGCATCCTGTGCCCCATAGCATCCTATGGGGTGGTGGTACCAAAGGGGGAAGCAGCATCCTGTGCCCCATAGCAACCTATGGGGTGGTGGTACCCAAGGGGGAAGCAGCATCCTGTGCCCCATAGCATCCTATGGGGTTGTGGTACCCAAGGAAGGAGCAGCATCCTGCATCCCAGAGCATCCTATGGGGTTGTGGTACCCAAGGAGAGAGCAGCATCCTGTGCCCCATAGCATCCTATGGGGTGGTGGTACCCAAGGGGGGAGCAGCATCCTGCATCCCAGAGCATCCTATGGGGTGGTGGTACCCAAGGAGAGAGCAGCATCCTGTGCCCCATAGCATCCTATGGGGTGGTGGTACCCAAGGAGAGAGCAGCATCCTGTGCCCCATAGCATCCTATGGGGTTGTGGTACCCAAGGAGAGAGCAGCATCCTGTGCCCCATAGCATCCTATGGGGTGGTGGTACCCAAGGAGGGAGCAGCATCCTGTGCCCCATAGCATCCTATGGGGTGGTGGTACCCAAGGAAGGAGCAGCATCCTCTGCCCCATAGCATCCTATGGGGTTGTGGTACCCAAGGAGAGAGCAGCATCCTGTGCCCCATAGCATCCTATGGGGTTGTGGTACCCAAGGAGAGAGCAGCATCCTGTGCCCCATAGCATCCTATGGGGTGGTGGTACCCAAGGAGGGAGCAGCATCCTGCATCCCAGAGCATCCTATGGGTTCTGGTACCCAAGGAGGGAGCAGCATCCTGTACCCCATAGCATCCTATGGGGTTGTGGTACCCAAGGAGAGAGCAGCATCCTGTGCCCCACAGCATCCTATGGGGTTGTGTTACCCAAGGAAGGAGCAGCATCCTGTGCCCCATAGCATCCTATGGGGTTGTGGTACCCAAGGAGGAAGCGGCATCCTGTGCCCCATAGAATCCTATGGGGTTGTGGTACCCAAGGAGAGAGCAGCATCCTCTGCCCCATAGCATCCTATGGGGTTGTGGTACCCAAGGAAGCAGCAGCATCCTGTGCCCCATAGCATCCTATGGGGTGGTGGTACCCAAGGAGAGAGCAGCATCCTGTGCCCCATAGCATCCTATGGGGTTGTGGTACCCAAGGAAGGAGCAGCATCCTGTGCCCCATAGCATCCTATGGGGTTGTGGTACCCAAGGGGGAAGCAGCATCCTGCGCCCCATAGCATCCTATGGGGTTGTGGTACCCAAGGAAGGAGCAGCATCCTGTGCCCCATAGCATCCTATGGGGTTGTGGTACCTAAGGAAAGAGCAGCATCCTGTGCCCCATAGCATCCTATGGGGTGGTGGTACCCAAGGAGGGAGCAGCATCCTGTGCCCCATAGCATCCTATGGGGTTGTGGTACCCAAGGAAGCAGCAACATGCTGTGCCCCATAGGATCCTATGGGGTGGTGGTACCCAAGGAGAGAGCAGCATCCTCTGCCCCATAGCATCCTATGGGGTTGTGGTACCCAAGGAGGGAGCAGCATCCTGTTCCCCATAGGATCCTATGGGGTTGTGGTACCCAAGGAGGGAGCAGCATCCTGTGCCCCATAGCATCCTATGGGGTGGTGGTACCCAAGGGGGAAGCAGCATCCTGTGCCCCATAGCATCCTATGGGGTGGTGGTACCCAAGGAGGGAGCAGCATCCTGTTCCCCATAGGATCCTATGGGGTTGTGGTACCCAAGGAGGGAGCAGCATCCTGTGCCCCATAGCATCCTATGGGGTGGTGGTACCCAAGGGGGGAGCAGCATCCTGCATCCCAGAGCATCCTATGGGGTGGTGGTACCCAAGGAGAGAGCAGCATCCTGTGCCCCATAGCATCCTATGGGGTTGTACCCAAGGAGAGAGCAGCATCCTGTGCCCCATAGCATCCTATGGGGTGGTGGTACCCAAGGAGAGAGCAGCATCCTGTGCCCCATAGCATCCTATGGGGTTGTACCCAAGGAGAGAGCAGCATCCTGTGCCCCATAGCATCCTATGGGGTGGTGGTACCCAAGGAGAGAGCAGCATCCTGTGCCCCATAGCATCCTATGGGGTTGTGGTACCCAAGGAGGGAGCGGCATCCTGTGCCCCCTAGCATCCTATGGGGTTGTGGTACCCAAGGGGGAAGCAGCATCCTGTTCCCCATAGGATCCTATGGGGTTGTGGTACCCAAGGGGGAAGCAGCATCCTGTGCCCCATAGCATCCTATGGGGTTGTGGTACCCAAGGAGGGAGCAGCATCCTGTTCCCCATAGGATCCTATGGGGTTGTGGTACCCAAGGAGAGAGCAGCATCCTGTGCCCCATAGCATCCTATGGGGTTGTGGTACCCAAGGAGGGAGCAGCATCCTGTGCCCCATAGCATCCTGTGGGGTTGTGGTACCCAAGGAGAGAGCAGCATCCTGTGCCCCATAGCATCCTATGGGGTGGTGGTACCCAAAGAGGGAGCAGCATCCTGTGCCCCATAGCATCCTATGGGGTGGTGGTACCCAAGGAGAGAGCAGCATCCTGTGCCCCATAGCATCCTATGGGGTTGTGGTACCCAAGGAAGGAGCGGCATCCTGTGCCCCATAGCATCCTATGGGGTTGTGGTACCCAAGGAGGGAGCAGCATCCTGTGCCCCATAGCATCCTATGGGGTTGTGGTACCCAAGGAGGGAGCAGCATCCTCTGCCCCATAGCATCCTATGGGGTTGTTGTACCCAAGGAAGGAGCAGCATCCTGTGCCCCATAGCATCCTATGGGGTTGTGGTACCCAAGGAGGGAGCAGCATCCTGTGCCCCATAGCATCCTATGGGGTGGTGGTACCCAAGGGGGAAGCAGCATCCTGTGCCCCATAGCATCCTATGGGGTGGTGGTACCCAAGGAAGGAGCAGCATCCTGTGCCCCATAGCATCCTATGGGGTTGTGGTACCCAAGGAGAGAGCAGCATCCTGTGCCCCATAGCATCCTATGGGGTTGTGGTACCCAAAGAGGGAGCAGCATCCTGTGCCCCATAGCATCCTATGGGGTTGTGGTACCCAAGGAAGCAGCAGCATCCTGTGCCCCATAGCATCCTATGGGGTTGTGGTACCCAAGGAGGGAGCAGCATCCTGTTCCCCATAGGATCCTATGGGGTTGTGGTACCCAAGGAGGGAGCAGCATCCTGTGCCCCATAGCATCCTATGGGGTGGTGGTACCCAAGGGGGAAGCAGCATCCTGTGCCCCATAGCATCCTATGGGGTGGTGGTACCCAAGGAGGGAGCAGCATCCTGTTCCCCATAGGATCCTATGGGGTTGTGGTACCCAAGGAGGGAGCAGCATCCTGTGCCCCATAGCATCCTATGGGGTGGTGGTACCCAAGGGGGGAGCAGCATCCTGCATCCCAGAGCATCCTATGGGGTGGTGGTACCCAAGGAGAGAGCAGCATCCTGTGCCCCATAGCATCCTATGGGGTGGTGGTACCCAAGGAGAGAGCAGCATCCTGTGCCCCATAGCATCCTATGGGGTGGTGGTACCCAAGGAGAGAGCAGCATCCTGTGCCCCATAGCATCCTATGGGGTTGTGGTACCCAAGGAGGGAGCGGCATCCTGTGCCCCATAGCATCCTATGGGGTTGTGGTACCCAAGGGGGAAGCAGCATCCTGTGCCCCATAGGATCCTATGGGGTTGTGGTACCCAAGGGGGAAGCAGCATCCTGTGCCCCATAGCATCCTATGGGGTTGTGGTACCCAAGGAAGGAGCGGCATCCTGTTCCCCATAGCATCCTATGGGGTTGTGGTACCCAAGGAGAGAGCAGCATCCTGTGCCCCATAGCATCCTATGGGGTTGTGGTACCTAAGGAAAGAGCAGCATCCTGTGCCCCATAGGATCCTATGGGGTTGTGGTACCCAAGGAGGGAGCAGCATCCTGTGCCCCATAGCATCCTATGGGGTTGTGGTACCCAAGGAGGGAGCAGCATCCTGTGCCCCATAGCATCCTATGGGGCTGTGGTACCCAAGGAAGCAGCAGCATCCTGTGCCCCATAGCATCCTATGGGGTGGTGGTACCCAAGGAGAGAGCAGCATCCTGTGCCCCATAGCATCCTATGGGGTGGTGGTACCCAAAGAGGGGGCAGCATCCTGTGCCCCATAGCATCCTATGGGGCTGTGGTACCCAAGGAGAGAGCAGCATCCTGTGCCCCATAGCATCCTATGGGGTGGTGGTACCCAAGGGGGGAGCGGCATCCTCTGCCCCATAGCATCCTATGGGGTTGTGGTACCCAAGGAGGGAGCGGCATCCTGTGCCCCATAGCATCCTATGGGGTTGTGGTACCCAAGGGGGAAGCAGCATCCTGTGCCCCATAGGATCCTATGGGGTTGTGGTACCCAAGGGGGAAGCAGCATCCTGTGCCCCATAGCATCCTATGGGGTTGTGGTACCCAAGGGGGAAGCAGCATCCTGTGCCCCATAGCATCCTATGGGGTTGTGGTACCCAAGGAAGGAGCGGCATCCTGTTCCCCATAGCATCCTATGGGGTTGTGGTACCCAAGGAGAGAGCAGCATCCTGTGCCCCATAGCATCCTATGGGGTTGTGGTACCTAAGGAAAGAGCAGCATCCTGTGCCCCATAGGATCCTATGGGGTTGTGGTACCCAAGGAGGGAGCAGCATCCTGTGCCCCATAGCATCCTATGGGGTGGTGGTACCCAAGGAGAGAGCAGCATCCTGCATCCCAGAGCATCCTATGGGGTTGTGGTACCCAAGGAGGGAGCGGCATCCTGTGCCCCATAGCATCCTATGGGGTTGTGGTACCCAAGGAGGGAGCAGCATCCTGTGCCCCATAGCATCCTATGGGGTGGTGGTACCCAAGGAAAGAGCAGCATCCTGTGCCCCATAGGATCCTATGGGGTTGTGGTACCCAAGATAGGAGCGGCATCCTGTGCCCCATAACATCCTATGGGGTTGTGGTACCCAAGGGGGAAGCAGCATCCTGTGCCCCATAGCATCCTATGGGGTGGTGGTACCCAAGGGGGGAGCGGCATCCTGCATCTCTGAGCATCCTATGGGGTGGTGGTACCCAAGGAGGGAGCAGCATCCTGTGCCCCATAGCATCCTATGGGGTTGTGGTACCCAAGGAGGGAGCAGCATCCTGTGCCCCATAGCATCCTATGGGGCTGTGGTACCCAAGGAAGCAGCAGCATCCTGTGCCCCATAGCATCCTATGGGGTGGTGGTACCCAAGGGGGGAGCAGCATCCTGTGCCCCATAGCATCCTATGGGGTGGTGGTACCCAAGGAGGGAGCAGCATCCTGTGCCCCATAGCATCCTATGGGGTGGTGGTACCCAAGGAGGGAGCAGCATCCTCTGCCCCATAGCATCCTATGGGGTGGTGGTACCCAAGGAAGCAGCAGCATCCTGTGCCCCATAGCATCCTATGGGGTTGTGGTACCCAAGGAGAGAGCAGCATCCTGTGCCCCATAGCATCCTATGGGGTTGTGGTACCCAAGGAAGGAGCAGCATCCTGTGCCCCATAGCATCCTATGGGGTTGTGGTACCCAAGGGGGAAGCAGCATCCTGCGCCCCATAGCATCCTATGGGGTTGTGGTACCCAAGGAAGGAGCAGCATCCTGTGCCCCATAGCATCCTATGGGGTTGTGGTACCCAAGGAGAGAGCAGCATCCTGTGCCCCATAGCATCCTATGGGGTGGTGGTACCCAAGGAGAGAGCAGCATCCTGTGCCCCATAGCATCCTATGGGGTGGTGGTACCCAAGGAGGGAGCAGCATCCTGTGCCCCATAGCATCCTATGGGGTTGTGGTACCCAAGGAGGGAGCAGCATCCTCTGCCCCATAGCATCCTATGGGGTGGTGGTACCCAAGGAGGGAGCAGCATCCTGTGCCCCATAGCATCCTATGGGGTTGTGGTACCCAAGGAAGGAGCAGCATCCTGTGCCCCATAGCATCCTATGGGGTGGTGGTACCCAAGGAGAGAGCAGCATCCTCTGCCCCATAGCATCCTATGGGGTGGTGGTACCCAAGGAAGCAGCAGCATCCCGCATCCCTGAGCATCCTTTTGCTGGTGGTACCCAAGGAAGCAGCAGCCTCCTGCATCCCTGGAGATGCTTTATGGGGGTCTCTCGATATTGGGGGGCACAGGGGGGTGTCGGAGGGGGGCCGGGGTTGGTTGTGGGGCTGTGGCTTTGGGGGTGATGCTCTTTGTGCCCCCCACTTTTTTTTTAGGAACAAGATCCTCATTTTTGGGCTCTTTGAGGAGACGGCATTGGCCGCTTTCCTCTCCTATTGCCCTGGCATGGACGTGGCTCTGCGCATGTACCCCCTCAAGTAAGGGGGGGGACCCCACTTTTGGGGGGCTATGGGGCATCTATGGGGTCTATGGGGGGGCTATGGGGCGTCTATGGGGGTCTATGGGGTTCTAAGGGGGGGAGCAGCATCCTTCATCCCTGAGCATCCTCTGGGTAGTGGTACCCAAGGAGGGGGGCTTGGGGGTCCTGGGAGGGGTCTATGGGGGGCTATGGGGGCGTCTATGGGGTCTATGGGGGGGCTATGGGGGTCAATGGGGCGTCTATGGGGTTCTATGGGGTCCAAAGTTGGGGAGCAGAATCCTTTGTCCCTGAGCATCCTCTGGGTAGTGGTACCCAAGGGGGAGGGTTGGGGGTCCTGGGAGGGGGTCTATGGGGGGCTATGGGGCGTCTATGGGGGTCTATGGGGTCCTAAAGGGGGGAGCAGCATCCTTCGTCCCTGAGCATCCTCTGGGTAGTGGTACCCAAGGGGGAGGGTTGGGGATCCTGGGAGGGGTCTATGGGGGGCTATGGGGCGTCTATGGGGTGTCTATAGGAGTCTATGGGCGTCTATGGGTCGTCTATGGGGTGTCTATGGGGTGTCTATAGGGGTCTATGGGGGGTCTATGGGGTTCTAAGGGGGGGGAGCAGCATCCTTTGTCCCGGAGCATCCTCTGGGTAGTGGTACCCAAGGAGGGGGGCTTGGGGGTCCTGGGAGGGGTCTATGGGGGGCTATGGGGCGTCTATGGGGGTCTATGGGGGGCTATGGGGCGTCTATGGGGTTCTATGGGGTCCTAAGGGGGGGAGCAGCATCCTTCGTCCCTGAGCATCCTCTGGGTAGTGGTACCCAAGGGGGAGGGTTGGGGGTCCTGGGAGGGGGTCTATGGGGGGCTATGGGGCGTCTATAGGGGGCTATGGGGGTCTATGGGTCGTCTATGGGGTGTCTATGGGGTGTCTATAGGGGTCTATGGGGGGTCTATGGGGTTCTAAGGGGGGGAGCAGCATCCTTCGTCCCTGAGCATCCTCTGGGTAGTGGTACCCAAGGAGGGGGGCTTGGGGGTCCTGGGAGGGGTCTATGGGGGGCTATGGGGCGTCTATGGGGTGTCTATAGGGGTCTATGGGGCGTCTGTGGGGGTCTATGGGGGTCTATGGGGGGCTATGGGGCGTCTATGGGGGTCTATGGGGTCCTAAGGGGGGGAGCAGCATCCTTCGTCCCTGAGCATCCTCTGGGTAGTGGTACCCAAGGGGGAGGGTTGGGGGTCCTGGGAGGGGGTCTATGGGGCAGCTATGGGGCGTCTATGGGGGTCTATGGGGGGGCTATGGGGGTCTATGGGTCGTCTGTGGGGTGTCTATAGGGGGCTATGGGGCGTCTATGGGGTTCTATGGGGTCCTAAGGGGGGGAGCAGCATCCTTCGTCCCTGAGCATCCTCTGGGTAGTGGTACCCAAGGAGGGGGGCTTGGGGGTCCTGGGAGGGGGTCTATGGGGGGCTATGGGGGCTATGGGGCGTCTATGGGGGTCTATAGGGGTCTATGGGGGTCAATGGGGCGTCTATGGGGTTCTATGGGGTTCTAAGGGGGGGAGCAGCATCCTTTGTCCCGGAGCATCCTCTGGGTAGTGGTACCCAAGGAGGGGGGCTTGGGGGTCCTGGGAGGGGTCTATGGGGGGCTATGGGGCGTCTATGGGGTGTCTATAGGGGTCTATGGGCGTCTATGGGTCGTCTATGGGGTGTCTATGGGGTGTCTATAGGGGTCTATGGGGGGTCTATGGGGTTCTAAGGGGGGGAGCAGCATCCTTCATCCCTGAGCATCCTCTGGGTAGTGGTACCCAAGGAGGGGGGCTTGGGGGTCCTGGGAGGGGGTCTATGGGGCGTCTATGGGGCATCTATGGGGTCTATGGGGGGCTATGGGGTGTCTATGGGGGTCTATGGGGGTCTATGGGGTGTCTATGGGGCGTCTATGGGGGTCTATGGGGTCTATGGGGGTCTATGGGGGGGCTATGGGGTGTCTATGGGGTTCTATGGGGGTCTATGGGGGTCTATGGGGTGTCTATGGGGCGTCTATGGGGGTCTATAGGGTCTATGGGGGTCTATGGGGGGGCTATGGGGTGTCTATGGGGTTCTATGGGGTCTATGGGCGTCTATGGGGTGTCTATGGGGTTCTATGGGGGTCTATGGGGGTCTATGGGGTGTCTATGGGGTTCTATGGGCGTCTATGGGGTGTCTATGGGGCGTCTATGGGGGTCTATGGGGCGTCTATGGGGTGTCTATGGGGCGTCTATGGGGGTCTATGGGTGTCTATGGGGTGTCTATGGGGCGTCTATGGGGCATCTATGGGCGTCTATGGGGTGTCTATGGGGGTCTATGGGGGTCTATGGGGGTCTATGGAGTGTCTATGGGGTGTCTATGGGGCGTCTATGGGGTGTCTATGGGTGTCTATGGGGCGTCTATGGGGTCCTAAGGGGGGGCTCCATGGGGTGTTTGGGGGTGTTCTGGGTCTTGAATGCGCTAAGGATGGGTTTGGGTGGATTTAACCGTTTTGGGGGTGATTTAACCCATTTTTGGGGTGATTTAACCGTTTTTGGGGTGATTTAACCGTTTTTGGGGTGATTTAAACGTTTTTGGGGTGATTTAACCGTTTTGGGGGTGATTTAAACGTTTTTGGGGTGATTTAACCGTTTTTGGGGTGAATTTAACCGTTTTTGGGGTGATTTAACCATTTTTGGGGTGATTTAACCGTTTTTGGGGTGAATTTAACCGTTTTTGGGGTGATTTAACCGTTTTGGGGGTGATTTAACCGTTTTTGGGGTGAATTTAAGCGTTTTGGGGGTGATTTAACCGTTTTTGGGGTGAATTTAAGCGTTTTGGGGGTGATTTAACCGTTTTTGGGGTGATTTAACCCATTTTTGGGGTGAATTTAAGCGTTTTGGGGGTGATTTAACCGTTTTTGGGGTGAATTTAAGCGTTTTGGGGGTGATTTAACCGTTTTTGGGGTGATTTAACCCATTTTTGGGGTGATTTAACCCATTTTTGGGGTGATTTAATCGTTTTTGGGGTGATTTAACCATTTTTGGGGTGAATTTAACCGGTTTTGGGGTGATTTAACCATTTTTGGGGTGATTTAACCCATTTTTGGGGTGGATTTAACTCATTTTTGGGGTGATTTAACCGTTTTGGGGGTGAATTTAAGCGTTTTGGGGGAGATTTAACCATTTTTGGGGTGAATTTAACCGGTTTTGGGGTGAATTTAAGCGTTTTTGGGGTGATTTAACCGTTTTTGGGGTGAATTTAAGCGTTTTTGGGGTGATTTAACCGTTTTTGGGGTGAATTTAACCGTTTTTGGGGTGAATTTAAGCGTTTTTGGGGTGATTTAACCGTTTTTGGGGTGAATTTAACCGTTTTTGGGGTGAATTTAAGCATTTTTGGGGTGATTTAACCGTTTTTGGGGTGAATTTAACCGGTTTTGGGGTGAATTTAACCGTTTTTGGGGTGAATTTAAGCGTTTTTGGGGTGATTTAACCGTTTTTGGGGTGAATTTAACCGTTTTTGGGGTGATTTAACCGTTTTTGGGGTGATTTAACCATGTTTTCTATCCCCCCCCAGGCCGAGCTGGTGGTTCTGCGCCTTCCCCTACAGCTTCCTCATCTTTGTCTATGATGAGATCCGCAAGCTCATCCTCCGCCGCAACCCCGGAGGTGGGAATGGGGGTCTATGGGGGGCTATGGGGGGCTATGGGGCGTCTATGGGGGTCTATGGGGTCCTAAGGGGGGTCCAAAGGGGGGAGCAGCATCCTTCATCCCTGAGCATCCTCTGGGTAGTGGTACCCAAGGAGGGGGGCTGGGGGGGCTATGGGGGTCTATGGGGGTCTATAGGGGGCTAAGGGGTGTCTAGGGTGGGGCTATGGGGGGCTATGGGGGGCTATGGGGGGTCTATGTGGGTCTATGGGGGGCTATGGGGGTCTATGGGGGGCTATGGGGGTCTTTGGGGGGTCGATGGGGGGTCTATGGGGTCCTAAGGGGGGCCTAAGGGGCATAGGGGGAGTCTTGGGGGTTCTATGGGGGTCTATAGGGGTCTATGGGGGTCTATGGGGGTCTATGGGGGGTCTATGGGGGTCTATGGGGCTCTATGGGGGGTCTATGGGGGTCTATGGGGTCCTATGGGTGTCTATGGGGCTTTTAGGGGTGCCTTGAACCCCCCCTCACCCCCTCTCCCATCTCTCCTACAGGTTGGGTCGAGAAAGAAACCTACTACTGAGCCCCCCCCAACCCAGAACCCCCAAAACACCCAAAAACACCCCAAAAAACACCCAAAAAACCCAAAAACACCCAAAAACACCCCAAAAACACCCCAAAAACAACCCAAAAAACACCCAAAAACACCCCAAAAACACCCAAAAAACGCTTTTTTCCCCCCAAAAAACACCCAAGGGGGGGGCACATCCCCCCTTTAACCCCCACCCCCTTTAAGCCCCACCCCCTTTAAGCCCCGCCCCCCTTTAAGCCCCTCCCCTTTTAAGCCCAGCCCCCCCATTCTGCCCCGCCCCCATTGAGCTCTATGGGGAGGGGGGAGGGGCGCTTCGCCTTATGGGGGGGAGGGGTTGGAAGGGGAGGGGGGGTGGGGGAGGGGTTTTTGGGGGGGTCCCCGCCCCTCCCCCTCCCCCTCCCCCTCCCCCCCCCAAAAAAAACGGTTTAAAAAAAAAAAAATTTTTGTCGTCGTGAGAAAAAAAAAATAAAAAAAAATTTCAAAAAAAAAATTAAAAAAAAATTTCAAAAAAAATTTCAAAAAAAATTTCAAAAAAAAAAAAAAAAATTCCCGGGAAAAAAAGGAGGAAAAATGAAAAAAAATTGAAAAAAAATTAAAAAGGGGGGGGGAGGGGGGGGGAAATGGGGAAAAAACAAAAAAAAAATTAAAAGTGAAAGTGATGACGTCAGCAGGTGAACGTGAATGGGGGGAGGGGAGAACGGGGCTGAAGGCGGGGGGGGTAAAAAGGGGGGGGTGGGGGGGGTGGGGGGGTTTTGGGGTGGTTTTGGGGTGGTTTTGGGGTGGTTTTGGGGGGATTTTGGGGGGGGTTTGGGGTGATTTTGGGGTGATTTTGGGGGGGTTTTGGGGTGGTTTTGGGGTGGTTTTGGGGGGATTTTGGGGGGGTTTGGGGTGATTTTGGGGTGGTTTTGGGGTGGTTTTGGGGTCTTTTGACCTGATTCGGGGGTGATTTTGGGGGTTAATTTGGGGTGGTTTTGGGGTGTTTTAGGGCTGATTTTGGGGTGATTTTGGGGGGGTTTTGGGGTGATTTTGGGGTGATTTTGGGGTGATTTTGGGGGGGTTTTGGGGTGGTTTTGGGGTGGTTTTGGGGTGTTTTAGGGGTCTTTTGACCTGATTCGGGGGTGATTTTGGGGGTTAATTTGGGGTGATTTGGGGCTCTTTCGGGGCTGATTTTGGGGTGATTTTGGGGTGTTTTGGGGCTGCTTTTTGGGGGATTTGGAGGCTTTGGGGGAGGTTTTTTAGGGTTTATTTGGGGTGTTTCAGGGTGATTTGGGGGTGATTTTGGGTGATTTTGGGGTGGTTTTGGGTGTTTCATGGGGATTTTGGGGTATTTGGGGCAGGTTTGGGGTGTTTTAAGGCGGTTTTTGGGTGATTTGGGTTGATTTTGGGGTGGTTTGGGGTGATTTTGGGCCAGATTGGGGTGATTTTGGGCAGCTTTGGGGTGATTTTGGGGTGGTTTTGGGGTGGTTTTGGGGTGAATTGGGGCAGGTTTGGGGTGTTTCAGGGTGATTTTGGGGTCATTTTGGGTGATTTTGGGATGTTTCAGGGTGGTTTTGGGGCTCCCGCACGCCTGACCCATAGATCCTGACCCATAGATCCTGACCCATAGAGCTGACCCATAGAGCCTGACACATAGAGCCTGACCCATAGAGCTGACCCATAGAGCCTGACACATAGAGCCTGACACATAGAGCCTGACCCATAGCGCCTGACCCATAGATCCTGACCCATAGAGCTGACCCATAGATCCTGACCCACAGATCCTGACCCATAGAGCCTGACCCATAGAGCCTGACCCATAGATCCTGACCCACAGATCCTGACCCACAGATCCTGACCCATAGAGCCTGACCCATAGAGCTGACCCATAGATCCTGACCCATAGAGCCTGACCCATAGAGCTGACCCATAGAGCCTGACCCATAGAGCTGACCCATAGAGCCTGACCCATAGAGCCTGACCCATAGAGCTGACCCATAGAGCCTGACCCATAGATCCTGACCCATAGAGCCTGACCCATAGAGCTGACCCATAGAGCCTGACCCATAGAGCCTGACCCATAGAGCTGACCCATAGAGCCTGACCCACAGATCCTGACCCATAGAGCCTGACCCATAGAGCCTGACCCATAGAGCTGACCCATAGAGCCTGACCCATAGAGCCTGACCCATAGATCCTGACCCATAGAGCTGACCCATAGATCATGACCCATAGAGCTGACCCATGGGGCTGACCCATAGAGCCTGACCCATAGAGCTGACCCATAGAGCCTGACCCATAGATCCTGACCCATAGATCCTGACCCATAGATCCTGACCCATAGAGCTGACCCATAGAGCCTGACACATAGAGCTGACCCATAGAGCCTGACCCATAGAGCCTGACCCATAGAGCTGACCCATAGAGCCTGACCCATAGATCCTGACCCATAGATCCTGACCCATAGAGCCTGACCCATAGATCCTGACCCATAGAACTGACCCATAGATCCTGACCCATAGAGCCTGACCCATAGAGCCTGACCCATAGAGCTGACCCATAGAGCCTGACCCATAGAGCTGACCCATAGATCATGACCCATAGAGCTGACCCATAGATCTGACCCATAGATCCTGACCCATAGATCCTGACCCATAGAGCCTGACCCATGGGGCTGACCCATAGAGCCTGACCCATAGAGCTGACCCATAGAGCCTGACCCATAGATCCTGACCCATAGATCCTGACACATAGAGCCTGACCCATAGAGCTGACCCATAGAGCCTGACACATAGAGCTGACCCATAGAGCCTGACCCATAGAGCCTGACCCATAGAGCTGACCCATAGATCCTGACCCATAGATCCTGACCCATAGAGCTGACCCATAGAGCCTGACACATAGAGCCTGACCCATAGAGCCTGACCCATAGAGCTGACCCATAGAGCCTGACCCATAGATCCTGACCCATAGAGCCTGACCCATAGAGCTGACCCATAGATCCTGACCCATAGAGCTGACCCATAGATCCTGACCCATAGAGCTGACCCATAGAGCTGACCCATAGAGCCTGACCCATAGATCCTGACCCATAGATCCTGACCCATAGAGCTGACCCATAGAGCCTGACACATAGAGCTGACCCATAGAGCCTGACCCATAGAGCTGACCCATAGAGCCTGACCCATAGAGCCTGACCCATAGAGCCTGACCCATAGAGCTGACCCATAGATCCTGACCCATAGAGCTGACCCATAGATCCTGACCCATAGAGCCTGACCCATAGATCCTGACCCATAGAGCTGACCCATAGAGCCTGACCCATAGATCCTGACCCACAGATCCTGACCCATAGATCCTGACCCATAGAGCCTGACCCATAGAGCTGACCCATAGAGCCTGACCCATAGATCCTGACCCCATAGATCCTGACACATAGAGCCTGACCCATAGAGCTGACCCATAGAGCCTGACACATAGAGCTGACCCATAGAGCCTGACCCATAGAGCCTGACCCATAGAGCTGACCCATAGATCCTGACCCATAGATCCTGACCCATAGAGCTGACCCATAGAGCCTGACACATAGAGCTGACCCATAGAGCCTGACCCATAGAGCCTGACCCATAGAGCTGACCCATAGAGCCTGACCCATAGATCCTGACCCATAGAGCCTGACCCATAGAGCTGACCCATAGATCCTGACCCATAGAGCTGACCCATAGATCCTGACCATAGAGCTGACCCATAGAGCTGACCCATAGAGCCTGACCCAAGCTGCCTAGATCCTGACCCATAGATCCTGACCCATAGAGCTGACCCATAGAGCCTGACACATAGAGCTGACCCATAGAGCCTGACCCATAGATCCTGACCCATAGAGCCTGACCCATGGGGCTGACCCATAGAGCCTGACCCATAGAGCTGACCCATAGAGCCTGACCCATAGATCCTGACCCATAGATCCTGACACATAGAGCCTGACCCATAGAGCTGACCCATAGAGCCTGACACATAGAGCTGACCCATAGAGCCTGACCCATAGAGCCTGACCCATAGAGCTGACCCATAGATCCTGACCCATAGATCCTGACCCATAGAGCTGACCCATAGAGCCTGACACATAGAGCCTGACCCATAGAGCCTGACCCATAGAGCTGACCCATAGAGCCTGACCCATAGATCCTGACCCATAGAGCCTGACCCATAGAGCTGACCCATAGATCCTGACCCATAGAGCTGACCCATAGATCCTGACCCATAGAGCTGACCCATAGAGCTGACCCATAGAGCCTGACCCATAGATCCTGACCCATAGATCCTGACCCATAGAGCTGACCCATAGAGCCTGACACATAGAGCTGACCCATAGAGCCTGACCCATAGAGCTGACCCATAGAGCCTGACCCATAGAGCCTGACCCATAGAGCCTGACCCATAGAGCTGACCCATAGATCCTGACCCATAGAGCTGACCCATAGATCCTGACCCATAGAGCCTGACCCAGCTGCCCTAGATCCTGACCCATAGAGCCTGACCCATAGAGCCTGACCCATAGATCCTGACCCACAGATCCTGACCCATAGATCCTGACCCATAGAGCCTGACCCATAGAGCTGACCCATAGAGCCTGACCCATAGATCCTGACCCATAGATCCTGACACATAGAGCCTGACCCATAGAGCCTGACCCATTGTTGACCCATAGAGCCTGACACATAGAGCTGACCCATAGAGGCCTGACCCATTGGGTTGACCCATAGAGCTGACCCATAGAGCTGACCCATAGATCCTGACCCATAGAGCCTGACCCATAGATCCTGACCCATAGAGCTGACCCATAGATCCTGACCCATAGAGCCTGACCCATAGAGCTGACCCATAGATCATGACCCATAGAGCTGACCCATAGATCTGACCCATAGATCCTGACCCATAGATCCTGACCCATAGAGCCTGACCCATGAGGCTGACCCA